GCTGCATAGTCCATGCGCCAGTTCGGCTTGCTTTTGATACCCCAGACGAAAAAACATACCCTTTTCTTTGAGCTGACATGCCCATCCATCCGTCACTCCTCCACTCCCCCTTCTGCTTTGTAAATAACTCGTCTCGGTTTCCCTTTCTGACTTCATTTCTTCATTGATGCTACCCTGACTACGATTGTTTCCCTCTTGATCTGCTTGGGCAGGAACGTACTCGTCTCCGATCTAGTTCGGAGTAACCACGTGCCAATGGAGTACTTCGACTTCGACGAGGCCTCGTTTGGCTCCCATTTGAGGGACGACGATGTGGCTTCAGACAACATCGAGCTAGACGAGCACGACGCCGTTGCAAACTTCGACTCCCTTGCGCTAGAACAAGACCTGGAATTCCCTCATGATCCCCAAGAGTCGACTCAGAACGTCGCCAAATCACCGGCGCAAGATGCGCCCGACGCGGCGGCTATGGATGGCATCTACCCCATGTCTCCCGCCAAAGACCCCTGTGACTTCTGCCGGAACATGGGTCTGGATTGCTTCGTTGCGAAGAGGGGTGTCATGATGCAGAATGGCTGTACCTGTTGCATTTCTCTCTATAGGAAGTGCAGTTTCACTCATGCCAAGGCGCCCGGCAAGTTTCTGGACACATTAGACCCAATCAACGAGAATATTGATATCCCGACGGGTGGCTTAACCGGCATAAAGGCACTCAAATCGGTGACTGGCATTGGATTTCCTGAAGACACCGACTCTCGGGGAAGGAAAAGTACTTCTCGGCTTTCACGGGACGCAGTCCGAGTTCTAAAGACGTGGCTCCAAGACCATAGCGACCATCCCTACCCCAATGACCGCGAGAAAGACGAATTGAAGCAACGTACGGGGCTGAAGCGCACTCAAATCTGCAATTGGCTTGCCAACGCTAGACGGCGTGGGAAAGTTCGACCGCCCCCGCGCAGCAGCTCTCCCGTTCCCGGGGCCGTGGATATTCCCGGACAGTCACCTTTGGACCTCACACTCATGACACCCCTGGAACGTTGGAAGCACTCTCCTCCTGAAAACGAACCTGCTACTAAGACGGATATTTTGCGTGCCCTGGTCAACACGTCGCTGGACTCTGTCCGGCACCGATCGTCTCAGCCAAGTCACGTGCCTTACCCTTTCCGGAAGGCTGGGTCTAGCAATGACTCAAGCCATGCCAATTCTAATATGTTTCATACCCCATCCATCAGCAGTCGAGAAACAAGTCGTTCTGCGAGTCATTCGTCTATATCTGACCTATCCTTTGCGTCTGCCTTTTCCCATCGCTCTTCCCTTGGGTCATTTGGCTCAATGGATCGAAAAGAGCGTCGCCGTCGCCGCAAAGCCTCCCCATCGGTCAATACTCTCAACCAACAGAAGGCTAAAAGCGCTCGAGTATTTCAATGTACCTTCTGTGCCGAGTCCTTCCAAACAAAGTATGACTGGCAGCGGCATGAAAAGTCGCTGCACTTAGCTCTGGAGAAATGGACCTGCTCACCCTTTGGAGGTGTAGCTTTCATAGACGGAGCCAATCGTTGTGTCTTCTGTATGGCAATAAACCCAGACAATGACCATCTAGAATCGCACAACTACAGTTCATGTCAGGAAAAGACCCCCACGGAGCGGACCTTCTATCGAAAGGACCACCTCAACCAACATCTGAGATTGATGCATAACGTGAAGTTCCACTCCTCGATGGACAGCTGGCGAAGTAATACCTGCGAGATTAGATCTCGATGTGGGTTTTGTGGAACAATTCTTACCACTTGGAAAGGCCGAACCGATCATCTGGCTGCGCATTTCAAAAATGGTGCCGACATGACCCAGTGGCAAGGTGACTGGGGTTTCGACCCGCTCGTGCAGAGCTTGGTCGAAAATGCCATGCCACCGTATCTGAATGGCGAAGAACGATTCACCTTAGATCCTTACACGACTTCACATATCAAAGGACGCTCGGCACGGGATCTCAATGTACCGAACGATGCAAATTGCTTCCAACGACTCCAACTCGAACTCACAGCATACGTTGACAACCAGAGGGCTTCGGGCGTCATCCCGACAGATCTGATGTTGCAGGATGAAGCGCGTCGTATTGTTTATGGTAGTGACGACCGCTGGAACCAGACATGCGCCGATAATCCCGTATGGCTCAGCATTCTCAAGCGCGACACTGGCATCGATGTCGTCCCCGGTTCAGATCACATCCAATTGGCAAATTTAGGCATGCGCCCTCCCTTCGCGGCGCATGGTGGTCTGAGTCGAGCTCCACTAGAGACCAACCTATCGGCTAGATCTTTGCGTTACCAACAACCTTTTAGCCCAGCCAATCTTGGATCTGGCCTTCAGAGCCCAGCATTACCGGGCACTGGTCAATCCTCTGTCGCTGCAAGTATCCCGGGAAGCTCGGCTGGTAGCTATGTTGGTAGTGCCGGGATGATGCCTCCCCCTACACACTCTGGGCTGTCCACCGACTGGGGAAGCAGTTTCTCTGCTGGACCTTCATCCTTTTCGACAGCTTTAAGTGGGCCGGCTGACCCATTCATACAAATGGGGTTCGACCCGGAGTTTCTCCAACGATTGAATCAAAATTATGACGAACTTGATTTGGAAGATCTGCAAGGGTTAGAATATGAGGGGAGCGGAGGCAATGGGGGTGGATTTGAACCAGGAGAATTAGGAACCATGGCATCTGCTAATCTTGCGTCTGCGCCAATTGCCATCCCCAGTCCTCCGAAACAACCGGATTATTTGATGACGGATGCTGCTCCCCTTGAAGAACTGGGGCTTTCCCAGGGAGTCCAGCATCCTGGTAGGACTGGAGTCTGATGTGCCAGCTAAGGCTGGAACTGTTTGACAATCGCGAAAGTACAGGGGGGCACTAATGAGGTCGATGAAAAAAAGTCACATTCGGTTTGAGCATGACACGAGCGGGATGCTGGGATCGGATGACCCCTTGACTGCTTTTATACCTGGCAACGTAATTTTGTAGTTAGTCATTTGCAATCCAATTCGAAACAATCGTGATCTTTCGGAGGGCGTGCAAATCGGAGTGTTGATAGGCCGAGCGCTTAAGATAAGGCAGGGAAGGCACGTGGGGCTCGTAATGGGCTGACATGTGATGCTCGGCCGTTTTCTGTCTTCTTGCTCCCTCGACTATTTTTTATTCTTTTTCTTTTCCTTTCGTTTCTTCGTCTTTGCGCCCTGGGTTCACTTGCCACTGTCTCTACCTCTCATCTGAAATACCACAGGTCTTTATCTTCAATTAGTTATGGCCGCACATGTCACTGCATCCTCGCTATTATACCATGGCTGATTGTCCATGAGCATTCGTTAAGTTTACCTACTTTGATCTAGCAACCTCCTGCGTCAGAAATACGCATTATCGCCGTGCTCCAACGGAACCCCTCACCTGCTCGCTCTTATCATTCGCACCGATAGAAGAGATGGACAAACGCAAGAACTGGGGCGACATCAATGTCCATCTACCTGGGCTGACACTTCTTTTACCTGTTATCTCGGCATCTATCAAGCATCACATACCCCGTCTGTATCATTCGACTGACCGGTCGACTGAATCGAACGATTATCCTCACGCACTACCAACGGAAGCCGATCCCCAAGAATTTGAAATCCGGCCACTTTCATCGGCCTCGTTTGAGTCAGACTTGGAAACCGTTTTCTCTGACGCTCAACGTCCCACAAGCTCTAGCAGTACCTGTACTAGTCAAGAGTCAGATTTGTTCGCCGAGCGCATGATGATTAACAATGATGTCTTCATTCCGAACGAGGTCACTGATAGAGCCGTCGTGGATCCCGCTAAGTCGAAGTACGAGGCGGTCTCTGGGTTACGGTGGAGTCGCGTAGTCCCAGGTAAGTTGTATTATTCCGGGGATTTTGATATCTGTCAAACATCTCCATCGACACAAAAATACTAACACAGCTGCGTAGCGCTTGGTTTCCTGCAGAATGCATGCTATGAAGCCCAACAACCAACTTGTGACGGTCGCCTGGTGCGGTCTATGTACATAAATGCTTTGGGCTATCTTCTCGACGCCATCCCCAAAGATCTGACTTCGGAGGAGTCTGACAGAATCAGGCGCAATCTACCCGTCAAGATCAAAGCGTCCATCCCGGCCACAGTGGATCTCGCTCCCGGCGCAACATGCGGTCCAAACCAACAAGCGAACGTCAACATCCCCAGGAGATCATATCTCCATCGACTGCTAGCTTCCGCTATCCTTCAACTTTTCGTCATATTACACTTCCTTATGCCTTACATCAAGATCATGATACGGAAGATTTACCAGTTTGAACGGTCCCATCATATTACGGAGAGAACGATTGCGGCAACCGCCAGCGCTGCGGACAGCTTAACCAAAGGTGGACTGAACGTGGGCCTTGATATATTAAGTATACGAGAAGGACAAATGGGTATAGCGGCTTCGAACCTGTTGACCTGGTGGATAGAAGGCGTTACCGGAGGCATTTGCGAGGGCGTCGGGGATGGCATGACGGTTTTGGGCATTGTTCGACCGCGCCAGGAATTGGAACGCGCATCTGGTCAATTCTGAACGGAAAGAATCTCTAGCTTTGCTTGAGCTATATCCTCTCGCAACCCTAGATTGATGATCTATTAGCATAGAGCGTAGGTGTTGGTTTGTCTTGGCACATCGTGGCGTATGGTCTGATAAAGGGTTTAATCAATCAAACGACTATCACTATTCTGACACGTTGCTTTGTACTGCAGCCCAATAATCGTGTATTAATTCTTCTGGGCGTAGAGTATTTTAGCACATAGTTAGTTACAGGAATGCCCTCTTCTATGGCTTAGTCATAAAACACTCGGAGATAACGGACTTGCTAGAGACCGAAAGGGACTAGCTCGGCTTGGTCTGGCTGGACTCTCCGTTCTCTCAACGCGCGACTTGGAGACTCGACACTTCAGACGGACTACTCACGGTCCATTGTCACCTCGCACAATGTCGACCTCGCGACTACCCAGAATTGCTGCTCTCCGCAAGCACCAGCTTCTTTTGGAATTGTGAGTTCGGCTGCCCGGCTCCCCCTTTTTCACCGGAAATGCTCTGCTGATCGCTCCGAGTACAGCTCAAGTCTAAAGCATGCGGCCCCTCCTGGCACATATGTGAGCATCGCCCCTAACGACCCTACTCTGTGGATCGGAGTAATTTTTGTACGCTCTGGTATGTCTGTTTCTGCTCCAGAGAGTGCCCGTTCAAATTCATTGAAGTGGGCAAGAAGCTGATCACGCCGTCGGGTCTCTCTCCAGGTCCCTATGCCAGCGCCGTCCTCCGCTTTCAGATTCGTTTCCCTTCCTCATATCCCGATCTCCCGCCTCTTGTCACCTTCGCGACCGATGTTTTCCATCCTCTTATCGTCCCTCTTACCACATATACTTTCAGTACCAATGCGTCCAGCGAAGATCCAGTGAGCGCGACAGACGAAGAGCGACTACCCCCGGGCGGGTTCAGTCTCCGTCATGGATTTCCCCACTGGTTTGGCCGAGCCAGGCGCAACGGTACCAGCTCAAATGCTTCATTGGGGCCAGGTAGCGTGCGTGGCTCGACTGCTGAAGGAGAGACAACGGATGCAGCCAGCAAGGATGGCTCTGTTCATAATAACGTGGACCCCTCTTCGTCGAAACCGCAGTCGGAAGGCGAGGGCGATGGAACTACCGGCGACAAGATCGATACTTCGTCTGTATCTCAACATGAGGACAAGGTGCAATCTGTTCCGGTGTCAGAATTATTAGACTACATTCGCTCTACATTTGATGACGAGATCGTCCTCGACTCTTTACCATTGGAGGCTGCTGGTAACCCGAGTGCTTGGCATGCATGGAAAGCCCATCGAAAGGACAGCGGCAACTCTAGCCTGGGCTATAATGCCAAACGCGGGAGCCCGCAGACGCGACTCCCCGGCGACTGGCACTGGGACGGAATTTGGGCAAAGCGGGTGCAACACGAGATTGAGGCTAGTCATTCGGATTCGACGCTATTTGGCAGTGCTGCTTCTCGCGGAGGGACCGATGAAATGGTTAGCTTTGCAATCCAACCTGAGATCAACAAAGAAGCTAACACAGGACTAGCAGATCCGATTTTCCCGATTAGACGATGCCACATTGACAACAGTCAAGAATATGATCGTTCCAGTAGTGGAGGAGGCACATGAGTAACTCGGATTCTTTGTTTATCATTATACCCAATACCGCTGGTCAGTCGATTCAATGCCACATTCAATGATCTTTACTTTTCGATTCAACCTCGTCTTTGCTATAATTCTGATGCGCAACATCGTCTACGCTTGATGGATGACCGATCGCGGTTGTTCCTTCCCCCCGGAAACTGATACCCATCGTCAGCATGGCGACTCAAAAAAGCCGCATGGAAAGACCGACGGCCCTACACCATCTCCACTGTCTCATTCCAGGGCTACAAAAACATTATCTTTACCAATTCTTACATGCCGGGCCACTCCCAGTGCCTTGTATTTCCAAGCCAACATGTCTAAAGCCGTGTATAATAAGTACAAGACATCGATCATTGTGCTTGCTCTGGTCCTTGTTCCGATTGTTGTCATTGGGTGCGCCTTCGCCGCTGCTCTGGCCTGCTCGGAATTCTGGAGTTCCGACCGTCCTGCTGGCTGCACATCTTGGGTCAAATCGCATGTGAGACGCCGCAGAAGACGCTCTGATCCTTCGCCTCCCCCATCACCTGTGTCTACTGGCTCCTCTCAAGTCTCTTCTGTTTACGACGACCCCGTTCGGAGCACGGAGACTGTTTGAGGAAGCACTTGTAGGCTATGCCTCTCGCGAAGAGGTCTTGCGAGTAGCTTCCTAGGTTGTGCGCAGGGGTGCCAATACTTCGGATAGGTGAGTCGGCATTGACATTTGCTTCGCGGGAGGAATCGATCGCTGACGCTCAAGAACAAGCTTGACGACAGAATTTACTATCTTATCAAGATTCAAAGCATCGTGCGGGGATACCTGGAGCTTCAACTTATGGCGGAGTCCCCATTGTCGAAAATAACGAGAAACACCCACTTGGCTTCGTTTATTCGAGAAGTACGGGTCAGAATATTTGGCTTTGGCGTGCATGATACCGAGGATTGGCTCCCATAGGATCTTTGGTTTGAAGTCACATTTGCGGTGACAGGTTCCCCTACATTTCCGTGGTGAAGTTTTCGAGGATGGCCTGCGTGGCATCCAACGCCAGGGGACATGACATTGGAAACGACAGACAAATACAAAGCTAGGTGGGACGCCATGTATGGATCTGGAGGTTCGAAATACTGCCTCGGAGGGCACTTCGACTTGTGCCATACTCGAGTTTATTCCAATGACTGCGTTCACCCCTCACCACCGAGCACCTAACCCTCTTTCTGTGTAGCGTCTCTTGTCCTTGCCGTGACGGTCCGACAAACGAGAAGCTAAAGTGTTGTATTTGGTGCTATTCTAAGAAATTCTAAGCCTAGGAATGAATGTTGGAGTTTCGGCCGTGGCTCGGCTGTCTACTCTGGTTATGTTTAGCAAGTAGCTTAGGTCAACCAGGCCACATGTATATAGTCAAGGTCCGCCTCTCTGAGTAAAATGACCAAGCATTTCTATGCCGATATTATCGTCTATATAGCCTTGCCTTTGACTTGTAAGGAAATCTTCGTGGGACTTGAAACGCATCATTCTGCGCTTGGCAACTTATGTCTTCTAGCTACTGTTGTTAATTAACCTAAGAGTCCTCTTTCGCCAACTTTCGCTCTTCGGCGGACATGGGAATTGTAAAACCTCCTCTACATGGAGACGTGGCGATGGTGAGAATGATGATTGGATTCAAGTCAGTCCGGCCTCCCTGACCATGAAAGAGAATGCCAAAAACACAGAAGGACAAGGCAAAAAGCTCGTCCCGACCGAACAGGATAAAGTCGATATGAAAGAAACGGAACGATAATCAAAGATTCCCGTGTACCACTAATGTATTCAGATAGACTAGCCATAAGTGTCACATGTTAGTTGGTCTCACCCCGTCCCCAGTACAAATCCAGCATCTCCTTCACAGTGAGCGCCTTGATATGCGGGAATCGATCATTCAAACACCCAGCCCGCTGAATGTGCGAAGACCCATCGGTTGTAAAAAGCTCGAAGATAGAAATGAACCATTGAAAGGCCTTCTTGGGGAAATAGTCATACAAGGCCTGATGACCTGGCAACTCAGTGATTTCGAATCTCTTCAGTTTCTCCACGTCATCGTAGCAGACGTCGAATTTGGCGCCTATTACCTGTAAGCAATTGGCCAGACCAAGATATGGATCTGTGGCCTACCTCGGGATTCTTCTGCTAACGCGACGAATTGATTCCAAGTCAATTCGTCACCCACCACACGGCTTTCTTCCTCCCATTTTTCCAGATCCAAGGCCGCAACTATGAACCGAGCGAGGTCATACGTATACGTGAACGTGACAGGGGTGTTGCCGTCCCCTGGAATGACAGCGATCTTGTTGGCTATGTCGATGACGAAGACGTTCGGTTTAAGGTTCGTCTTCATGGCCGGAGTACTAAAGTAGTCGAGGAAGATACTATTGTAGAAAATGGTCCATTCAAGACTGGACTCTCGGAGTTGGTCGAGGGCCAGGAAATGGTCTTTGAGTTGCGGGAGGACCTCGACTGCGCTATAGGAGGCCATTAGATCATGATCCAATCCCTGAGAAGTAATGGTTGATGGAAAGATGGGATGAGGGTTAAAACTTAGACTCACGCAGGAGGATAGACAATGGCATAGCCGCTCGGGATGAATCGCTTGGTTGTCTTCGACTTAGCCGCTGCTTGGATGAGGTTCCGCTGGGCCATGGCGAGCGAGTCACCTTCGATAGCGAAAGCGGATATAACTGTGTGGATGTTGTGTTGCTCAAGGAGTTGTGCTAGATCATCGATGTTGCTGTAGTCCACTTTGATTGTTTTCTCTGGCGAACTAGACGACTGTTTTGGGGGTTGTTAGCTGGCTTCTGAGAGAAAGGACAAGGTGTAGAGGCTTACCTGTCGGGAGAGAATGAAGGACTGGTGTGGAGATACCTCCATCACTTCCACGATGGTTTGGCCAACACCACCTGTTCCTCCGGCGATTGCAACGTTGACCATCTTGTATGCTAGAATACTAGGGAGAAGGCAGAGTAGAACTGGATTGAGTATTGGGGGCTAAGACATGCGCGAGTGCAGGAACTGAGCGAAACAGAATCAGATGGAGAGCAATGAAGCATATTTATATTGCATCAACCCCCCTCCCTTCCGCCACCACGCTGAGTACTCCGTGGTCCATGATACAAGTCTCTGAAAGTTAGGGCATGGACGCCCCACCGGCCTTACGAGAATTGCCTGTTCGGGCCTTAGCGGGGGTCCACTCTCTTCCACCCCGTGGTCCCTTCTTGCTCTTTCTTCCTCTCTTGTCTCTCCCCTGACCTCTTCCTTCTCCGATCATAAGCACGGAGGAGCAGATCCTTGACCCATTCATCGATTGATCCTATCATAATGCCTCTCGAAGTCAGCGGCCTAGGGAGATTCCGTCTGCCCTCGGCGCCGAAGAGGAAAGCATCCGCCGATACCCGGGCAAAAGACTCCCGACGACGACGACCACACGCCAAATCTCGCAGCGGCTGTTTCTCATGCAAGGAAAGTCGGGTGAAGTGCAACGAGGCTCGTCCGAAGTGTCAGCGGTGCTCGGTTCGTCGGAAGTCTTGCTCTTATGACACTCTTAGCGTTCCACTCCCCAACGACTGCCGCATGGTGGCGACTGTCTCGAGCTCGTTGGTCGAGTGTGGCTACGATCAGATCAGACATGGGCCTTATGAGGGAATGCATAATGGTAGCGTTATGACGCCGGATGCATACCTAGCCCGGAATTTCGATCATTGTGTCGATACGTCGTTTGCCTCGGAAGCGGGAAAGGTAATAGCCAAGCGCTTTCTCTTGCCGGGCTGTGCTGCTACCCCGATGCTTATGCATGCTCTTCTTGCATTGTCGGCGCGAAATATTCAGTACCTTCACCCGACGGGCCGGTCCCACGAGCTGGCATTCAGGTACCATGCCCAGGAGGCGTCTGGGCTACTGAATCGAGTGATCCAAGAGGGCGTAGATGCCCATAATATCGAGCTGGTCTACGCTACGTGCTTGGTTATTAACATGGTTGCATTCACGTCACGAGAAGACACGATGCTCCAGTCGTGGGTGTTCAAAGAAGACGAGGCATCCATTACGGAGTCTTCTGTTTGGTACATGATACAGGAGGGCATGGGGTATCTATCCCATGTTCTAAAACAAAGTTTTCACCAGACCTTTTGGCGGCTGAAAAGTGACTTTGGCGATGTACCGCCTCTCACACTCTTTTGTGTGACTGCTGGCGGGAGTGCATCGGAGCGCAGATCTCGGATACCTTCGATTCTCGCCGACGTGTGCCAGGTAACGTCGCAGAGTACTCCGGAGAACAATGCATATTATGTCCCTCTCGAGCTCTTGTCATATCTGTTCGGGCTGACGAGAGACAACGCCAATAGTTTAGATAGCATTTTGGCATTTGGACCTCGTGTTTCGCATGAGTATCGCATGCTTGTTCGGCAGAAGGATGAGCCCGCGTTGTTATTGTTCATGCTGTGGCTGCGACTGCTTTGTGGGGAGGTATATTGGTGGGTGACGGCGCGGGCGCGGAGTGAGTATGCTGCTGTGTCGTGGCTGCTCGGTCAGAGTGAAGATGTTAGAATACGGACGATTGCTCGAGACCCTGATCTGGTCTTGCGGAGTCTAGAGGACAATGAGGAATACCATCTATAACTTCCTTGAATAAAAACAGAGGGACTGAGTATTTATCCTGGAATAGCCATATTATTTCTCTTAGCACATGGCACTTATAGACGACTAGAGGTGCTAAGAATGAAGAGAACGGGAGATGAATGATTGATTGATGAAAATGATCAACTAATTAGATCGAGGACTTTGTATCTTTGTTAAAAACATGTGTAATGAATAAAGACGAAGCTGATTATACTTGTTCGATGTAAACCATATGTATAAGTACCCCTGATAAATCGCCCTACATAACATCCAAACCCAGTCACTCCGATAAAAGCCAACCACACAAAAACCGACCTACCTAAGATAGCCCCAAAAGATCGGATGTGCTGACACCGATCATTCTTGAATTAAATTATGCCACTCCGGAATCTCCTTAATGAGCTTCCACATATACTTCTCCAGTGCTCCGGAAGGAGAAGACCCCGAGCGACTACCACCAGGGACCTGGCACACCCAGATTGATGAAGCGAAGGTCAAACAGGCACTGTTTCACCAAGCTATTCAAAAGGCCCCCGGTATCGATAAGCTGAATTTTAGAGCTCTACGGCTACTATGGGACTGGGACAGTCCCCGGCTAATAGCTCTGGTAAGGCAGTGTTTCAGGCTAGGCGTCCATCCGGAAATATGGAAAATAGCTAAAGGTATTCTGCTGCGGAAACCGAATAAGCCAGACTACACAAAAGTTAAGGCTTACCGGGCAATCAGTCTACTCAACTGCCTAGGAAAGGTAGTAGAAAAGGTGGCAGCAGAAGCTATAGCTAACCATTGCGAAATTACCCAGAGCTTATACCCGGGTCAACTGGGATCCAGAAAGAGCCGAAGTACTATAGATGCCATAGCCTGTCTGATACAAAGAACTTATCAGGCGTGGGGCCTGAAACAGCTAATGGGAGCCCTCTTTCTCGATGTAAAGGGAGCGTTTGATCATGTTAACCCGGCCAGACTGATAGCCCGGATGATAGAGCTCAATCTAGATAGGGACCTCATACGCTGAGTACAATCCTTTCTAACTGACCGAAGGGTTCAGCTAGTTATCGATAATATTCAGTGTTCGGAACAGCCAATCAACTCAAGTGTCCCTCAGGGATCACCAGTGTCCCCAATCCTCTTTATCATCTATCTCAGCGGGGTCTTTGAGGCTATAGAGACAGCAGTACCAAGGGTTCAGGCCTTATCATTTGCAGATGATGTAGGTCTTCTAGCCCCAGGGTATTCAGTGAAAGGAACATGCGACATGCTACAGCGGGCAGCAGAAGTAGCGATCAGTTAGGGCCAGATGCATAAAGTCCAGTTTGACGCAGAGAAGACAGAGGCAGTCCTCTTCACCCGAAAACGGGGCCAGGAACTCAGGACCCAGACTCAGCGAGCCCGCATAGTGGTCGAGGGGCACCAAGTCTCATTCAACCAAGAAGCTACCCGGTGGCTAGGTTTATGGCTGGATGCAGGCCTTAATCTAAAAGTCCACTACAATACGTGTTTACGGAAGGCCCGCACAGCGGAAACCCGGGTGCAGTCTCTGTGTCGCAGACAGGGCCTACCCCCAGGCCTAGTACGCAGGATTTAGGTAGCCGCAGTGCAGTCAGTAGCTCTATATGGGGTAGAGCTCTGGTGGCAGGGCCAGAAAGACCGGCTCGAAGGGGTACAGCAACTACTTAATCGACAAGCTCGGGCAATCACGGGAATGCTCACAACTACCCCTATCGGCCCTCTTATTCGGGAGGCGGGTCTAACACCAGCGGAATGTCTACTAGAATCTAGACAGCTAGGATATACTATCCGGTTACTAGGTCCACCCGAGAACCACCCAGTAAGACAAATTCTTCCAGTCAGTTTTAGAGAAGGGGATCAGCACGTACAATCCGACGAACAGCCAGAAGAGGACCGAAATTGGGCAGAATCAAGCCGGGGATCATAGTCACTGGGCCAACACCTAGTACGCCAGCTAAATAAGATTCTACCAGTAGACCCCTCAGGAGGTTTCGAAACCTCAATACAGATCTCGGAAAACAGCTTCCCAGGCCAGATTATTATTGAGTCTCCAGAGGAAGCACTCCAGGCAGCTCAGGCAGCCCCGGCAACTCAGACTATCTGAACAGATGGATCTAGGCTAGAAGACGGGAAAACTGGAGCTGGAATAGCATGGCAAGCCCAGCAAGGCTGCTAGAAGACAAAAACATTCCCAATGGGAAAAGGACAAGAAGTCTTTGATGCGGAGCTCCTAGGAGTCTACCAGGGACTACAGCTGGCGAGAGAGATGGAAAGCCAAGGACCAATCACCATACTACTCGACTCCCAAGCAGCTATACGCAGGCTACAACATGCAAGACCTGGACCAGGTCAGACAATAGCTGCTGACATACGCACTGCCGCTCAGGACCTGCTATCGAGGGGCCGTGATCCGATAATTCAATGGGTCCCAGGACATGCAGGTATAGAAGGAAACGAAAGGGCAGATTAAGCAGCAAAACAAGCCGTAACGCGAATACCGGGACCAGGCTGCAGAGAGATCTCACAAGCATTTACTCGCAGAACCCGTACAGAGGCGTTAAGAACAAACAGACAACACTGGCTAGAGAATAGTCTTAACCGGAGATCACAATCGATACAGAGAACCTATAAATCTGGAAGAGGCTGGCAATTGGATCCTATAGCGGCAACAGCTACTAAGGGCCTAGCTAGCCGATATTTTCAGATGACGGTAGGACATGCAGCTATCGGATCATATCTATGCCGCATAAAATCTCGGGAAAGAGCGACCTGCCAAAATTTGCCAAGCTCCTAGGGAGACAGTTTCTCATATACTAGTCAGCTGCAGACAATGGCGACGAGAACGAGAGGTGCTATATACAGCTCTAGATAGAGCGGGAATAGCGAGACCTTCCGTACAAGAAACCTACCCAGAAAGCAGGCTCTTCAAGGAACCTAAAGCTACTAAAGCCCTACTAGACTTCATAGCTAATACAGGCGTGGCTCTTTCTGGAGAACAACACCAGAAGGACCAACACAGAGCAGAGAGAGACAATGAAAGAGGCCTAGAAGCTCTAGAGGAAGCTGAACGGACCGGAGAAGGCTAACAGGAAGGGTGGCCTGGTCACACCTAGGCGTCACCCACCCTGCTAGAATCCCAAGGAGAGCAAACATGCTCAAAGACCCTGCGCAAGAAGGCGATATGGGGCGAGGAAAAGGAACAGAATGTAATTAAAACGGGGGAATAGCCCTAGGGACTCGGTATGGACAATAAACTTGATTAAATAATAATAGTAATAATATACTTCTCCAGTTGATTTGCACACTTGGTATATACCGTCGTTACATCTTTATATCGCCGACAATTAATAAAGATCAACTTGAGATCGTCGACAAGGTCTTTCGGTGCAGTGTAAACATCATCGACCAATAGTTCTTCCACCGTCGACAGATCCCTCGGGGATGTAATAAACTTGCAATAGTCAGGGACTTCTTCTTGTCGACCGGGCTGGCGAAGGACCATGCATGCTTGTGGTTTTGAATATGATTCAAGAAACGCCGAAGTTCGTTAAAATGAGGTCCATGGCGTGGTACGCGTGATAGCTCGTCCATCTCTGGAGACCAACCGGTTGCCCGAATCGCCGGAATGGAGAGAGGGTCGATGAGGGCGATGACACCGCTAGACCATTGCTGAGGTGGTGGGTGGACAATACGGTTCTTGCTGATGGTACGCGTTTTGGCAAGAACGCATTCCCTCTGCTTTAGAAGCATGCGGCCAACTTCGAGGTACCGGACTCGGGGAAGCTTGGAGCATTGCATCAGTGTACCCCCTTCGTAGTCCTTGATGTACCCTATCCAGCGCGACCTGCCGAGTGTGATCTCTTTGGTGAACCCTTGTTTTTTTAAAGTATCCGATGGCATAATTATCGGCGTAGGTTAGAAAATACATCACTGGAGAAGTAGCTCTCACGTAGTCTTTCAAATGGGCCATGAGATGGGCTCCATATCCCTTCACCTGCTGATCAGCCGATACGGCACAGAAGACGATTTCGGCAAACTCGCGGTCTGGGAATTGACGATATGTAATCCCACCAACAACCTGCAGCGGCATCTTGACAATGGCGATGGACAAATGAACGCGATCGTAGACAAGACGTGCGATGTAGTCTTTGGGCATTTTCGGAAGCTGTCTTTGGAACAAACATTTCAGACCAGTGAGAATGGTTGTACTTTCTGGGGCGCCATCGTTGTTGACTACTCGATACTCGATCTCGCCATTTCACTCCTCCAGCACTGCAGTCTTGAGAATACTTGGTCAATTGCCTCACATTGAGAGGTCCTAGCATACCTTCTCGGGGAAAAGCACCCTCCGAATGAGAGCTGGAGAGTTCAAAGTCGGATCCTGCCAGCTCATCCTGAAAGCTCTTTGTTCTCTTGGCATAGAGGCGGGACTCGGATCTTCGAGGACCGGACGCTTCGCGATGTTGCTGTCGGCTGGAAATGGCTGCGACTGTGCTTGGTTTATTTGCATTGGAATGATAGTGAGCCTGAACCCGGACTATGTGATATGTAAACTAGGCTAGGTTGGGTAGGCTAGACATAGCCACTCCGGAGTTGTCGCAATCTTTCCCCGGAAATCACGAAATGTTGAGTCGGTCGTTCGGCATTCTGAGGCCTTTTATCCCTTTGTTGTTAGGTACTTACCACGTGACGGTTGGATCTGTAGGAGACTGAAGCAACCATTCTCAGTTCTTACAGATCAGACAAGGATCCCACTCCCAAGTCCAGGCATAACATGAAAGACAACACCAATCGCCAACGCTAACAGCCCAAGTCCGCGACATACTCCCCAAGACCCCCAAACTCCTAACTCAACAGCAGCGTTCAACCCGCAGCCCACAAATCCCGCAACCCCCCAAGCCACAAGAACACCACCATAGCTGCTCGAAAATGACCCAGGAGAAGGAGAAGCGTCCCTTTGAGCAGCTTTCACCAAGCCTGGGAGGATACTGAATCCCGCTCCATGGGCAAACAGAATCACGCAGAGCGCACAAAGGCCCAGCATGGGGCCTTCAAATTGCGAAAGCAGAACCAGCAAAACCCCTCGTAGACAAAGTAAGACTATGAATGTATTCCTTGCGCCGAGGTAAGCGCTGAGCGTGGGTGCGAACACGCCACCTGATGTAAGAGCTAGCATGCTGGATGCTAGGAGAGCCGTGGGGTCATGGTCACTCTTTGTCTCGGTGTCGCCGCTGGAGTAGTAGTAGGAGGTAAGAGGGAGCAAGGCAACGATGACTGTCATTCCGGGTAGGGCATTGAAGAAGAGAAGGATTGAGAGGAATAGCTCAGAGGAGGAAGAAGGGTGGCTTGATGATGCTTTATTCGCATGGCTACTGGGTTGCTGTTTCGGCGTGGTATCCAGCAGTCCCGGCAGCAGGAGCTGAGTAGCTGCCCCAACAGCGAGAAATGTAGCACCTGCGAGCGCAAGAGCCCGGCCTACACTTTCTACATCGGCCGTGCTGAGCTCGCAGACAGACCAAAGAATGAAAGAAGCCGCTGCGCCAGACGAAAAGCCCATAGGCCCGATGGCACTCCGAGCAAGAGCGAAATTGGGGAACCCGTTGCTGACCAGGACCACAACGGCGAGATAAGTCCATCCCACACCCACACCACCGAGCAGGAAACACAAGAGCGTGAGTTCAAACTTGAGTTGGCTGAGAAACGTGCCTGCGCCGATCAGGGCAAATCCCCAAACAGCAGTGCCGCTGGCGCTGGTAACGTGGGTGCCGCGGTGGGAGATCATAGATGCACAGGTCGCGACTCCGATTGAGAGGCCGATGCAAGCCATGCCAAAGGGAGCGAAGCTCCATGTTACGGGCTTTCCGGTAAGACGGGTGAGGTGGACTTGTAGGGTGCTCAGTGCGTAGACTGTCCCGATGCTGAACATATTGGTGAAACTCGCTAGAGCAATTGATAATGATGCCATGTTGGTATCAACGGACGATGGGATGGGGTTCTAGTGTTTGTTGTGATAGAGGCGTCATAGAACAGGGATAATGAAGAGATAGGTAATGGGAGCTTGGGCGAATGATCCTTATACTTATAGACCAAGCCTGAGTAGAGAGTCTCCTACTCGGCGGAATTGCCGCTGATGCAGCCCGAAGGCGAGTCGAAAGGCGGTACTTCCGCCCGCTATAGTGGATCTGAAGAAGGGAGAAAGATGGAGGATGATGCAACCCTGCAGTGTCCAGACATCTGTCTACACATGGTGAACGGACCCAGTTCGCTGATTCTTAGAACACATCAAAGGTTCTCTTGGTACGCGATGGGTGGGATGAATCGATGCATTACTACACACACTGCTAAAATGCTATGAGGCCAGCATACACCTCGCTTAGAGATATTTTAGGAAGAAATAACAGGACAGGACTAAAATGCCGTGGTGTTTCTATAACTCTTCGATATCAGAACCTTCTGTAAAGACGACAGGATCCCGTCGAGACCGGTTGACTTGCAATTGAAAAACATCAAGTCGCTGATATCCCCCCACCACATCATGATATTGTTTTCCTTCAATACAACGATCGAGATCCATATCCGCATAAAGAACCCCTTCCTCATTCTGTAGAAACTCCTTGGGCCTCTGGGTCTTCGTATCCTCTTCCACTGTGAACGAAGGAAGAGGCGTCCCAGTCGGATCAAGAAACATACTTACTCCACGAGGAGAGTTATCCAGCACGCCCTTGACATGGCCAGGGGATCTAGAGCCGGAAACGATGATATCAATGGCATCCTGGCCGAGGAAGCCGCTACACATCACGCCAAAGCACTTCGCTTCGAAGCAGTGAGCGGCGGCGCGAAGTCTATTCGCGAGTACATTGTCGTAGTTCGCCGGGGCCTGGCCCTGGCCCTGGCCCTGACCCTGACTGAGACGGTCCCCTTCCTCCTTCTCCTTCTCCTTCGGTGATGATGCTGGGACCCGCGTCGGCCAGATCGGTGGCCAAGACGAGATATGAATCTGCTCGCGCTGAGCCATCAACGAGTACCGCGCCAAGGGATTGGTATTTTCCCCGCAGATGAGTCCGCCAACACGACCGTACGGTGTATCAGCGACACGCAATCCATACCCATCACCCGGGCTCCAGGTGAGTTTCTCAAAGAACGTCGGCATCAACTTCCGGTGGTGTACAGCGACCTCGCCCATGGTGTTGATGATCAAGTTCGAATTGTACAAGCAGGCGGTACTCGCCCGATACTTTTCGGAAAAGCCCATGCTAATGACGGTTTTGGTCTCCCGGGCGGCTTCCTGAAGAAGTCGTACTTCTTCGCCATCGGCATACAGAGATTCCTGCACCATGCGATGGAAGAGGTCATGGTTCTCCGTTGGGGGACGGATGGCGCTCCAGATGGGGAAGGCTGATAGGTATGTCTCGGGGAAGACGACTAGATTGGCGGAGTTTTTGGCGGCCTGGTGAATGAGCGAAATGGCTTTGTCGACGGATTTTTGCGCAGAGAGAAAGTGAGAGGCAACATGGCATGCGGCGACCCGAGTAGGTGCCATGGCTGGAAAGAGTAGGGGGGAAATGATAGTGAGATCGATAATGATGTGGGTGCGGTTGAAATACCGATAGCAGCTAACTGCAACTAGTTGACCCCAGCCACCAAGCAGAATGAATGGAGATTAATTCAGATAACCGACTGTTAAGGCGGGCGGAAATGCCGCCTCGAGCGATTCAACCGCAGTAACCGCAGCAATCGCAATAACCGACTCGGATCTTCTCCGTGGAATTGGCAGTTTAGCGATGATTCAAATTTTGGTATATGATAGCGTGAAGCAAGTCTGTGTTAGATCACTAGTGTTCCATGAGGATGGCAGGTCCACGTGTAATTTTGTTAGGAGTAAAGATAGTACACGCCATGAGAACAATAAATAGTGGTCATACGAATGAGGATGATAAGTCAAAAAAGTACTGATACTTGTGTAAAGAATGAGCTATAGAGAGTCAAATGTACATGTCCACACTGTGCAGTGATTATTCCTTGTGTTCCGCTGCGGTCGTATCAATCTTGTTCACCGAGCGAAGAGAACGAGCATCCATAACATCTTCTTTGTCGAAGATCACCGCCATCTGCTCCAACGAGAATCCTCGGGTCTCTGGGTAAAAGAAGAAGACAACGAAGCCGTATATGACAAGCAATACCACGTAAATAATGTAATACTTCCAGCCAATTGCCTCAAAGGCAATCGGGTTGACAAAAATATTGAATATGATGGCAATGATGCAGGACATCCACGTAACCATCAAGCCGCGGGAGCGTAATCGAAAGGGCCAGACCTCGCAAGGGTACGATGTTAATAGCGGTGTCCTGTAGATAACAACCAGTCAGAGCGGAGCGGTAAAGAGCAAGGGACTGGGCATACAAAGCAATGTCATATCCGGCAAAATAAACGAAGACGAACGGCACAAAAGCGATACCCGTGGCATGGTGCCCCGTCGTAACGAATGCACCATAGAGTCCGGTCATGATAACATAACTAGCCAGCATTATTGCGGCAGAAAGTAGGAAAAGCTGCCGACGACCCATTCGCTCAACAGAGACGGCGCCACCAACGGCGAAGAAAATGTTCCAAATCTGAAGACACGCGGAGATGAGAAGCTGGTCTCTCGTCTTGCTGACACCAACAGCGTTGAGTACAATGGTCAAGTAATAGGAGAGGAGACCATTGCCCGCCCATTGGTTGAAAAAGCCAAGCGTGACAGAGATGAAAAGACGATGCCGATTGCCCGGGGTGCGGATCATCTCTGCATAGCCCGATGAGTTCTCAGCTTCACCTTCGGCCACAATACTGGAGTGAATCATCCGGAGCTCCTCCTCCACCCATGGTGCACCGGGGTCGTTATCCGCATGTATCGTGGCGAGAGTCTGATGGGCCTCTTCCATTCGGCCGACTGATACCAGCCACCGAGGACTTTCAGGAATGAACCAGAACCCTGGAAGGGCCAGAAGAGGCATTAGAAGCTGCAACCACGAAGGAATCCTCCAAGCCCAGTTTGAATCGAGGGTGCGGGTGCCGAATGTCACCCACGCGGCAACGACGCTGCCATAATAGTAACTGGTCATATACATAGCAGTGGCCACACCTTGATGATGGGGATAGGCAACTTCGGCAATTAATGAAGGGCCTGCGTTGTTCATAAAGCCCATGCTGGCTCCGGCAAGGAGTCGTCCAACCATGAAGAGAGCCCTCGAAGGGGCTGCGCTCTGCAGGACTGTACCAATAATCAGGCAAATGTATCCGAGCAAAATGACTTTTTTGCGGCCGTAGTGATTTGAAAGCCACGCGGCAAAGGTGGCAGACACTGCAGCACCAATCCAGTACAATGTATTGATAAACCCAAGCCATTCACCCCCTGGCTGTTCCATGAATGACATCCAGATCGGAAGAGACTGGAGACCGTTGAGTAGGGAACTATCGTAACCATTTGCGGACGCTAAAAGAACCGTGACTTCAGTAAATGTGATCAGTGATCTCTCAGTAAAGGGTACTGACATAAGAATGTCACAGAGATAATGCAGAGATTCAGGCGAATCAAGCAAGGACTCGACCACCAGCCCCGCGCTGGTGCTGGGTGGGTTGAGATATTCCCGGCAGCTGGCATGGAGAGGAATCGGGAGGAAAGGTAATAGGATGAGGGGATTTAGGAAAGGCCAAAGACCCGCGCGGGTGATCCAATATATACGCGCTGATGCTCGAGTCAATTGTCCGGGGTTAACAACGTCGGCGCAGATTGCCGTCCCTGGCCTATGGGACATGTCATAGTAATTAGTTCGATTCTCGGTAGTAGATTTGAAACCGAGAAACCGTGGGGGAAAGATAAGAATGTCGAGTCCACGAGGAGAAAACGTGGAGACTGGAGAGGGAAATCATGGAGTCCGGGGCGTTGGTGGAGTCAGTGGAGCCATACCACGGAGTAGAGGGAGATAAGCGATGGCAAATGCGGCGGAAATGCCGCCGATTCCGCCTGGGTCTATCGTCAGCGTGGAGAGCTCAGAGAAGGTAGTCGTCGGTTGGGAAATGGACTGCCACAGGCTGAATCAGTATATAAGTGAACCGACGGCTGTAATTGCAAATCATTCCTTCTCCGCCTCTGCCCTCGGAGACAAGTATCCATTTTCCTACTTCAACCTTTCACGATGAGCGTTTCCCAAGACAAAGTCGACGCCATCATGGCGCAACTGTCTCTCACCGAGAAATGCCTTTTACTCTCCGGAAAAAACATGTGGGAGACATATGAGTTGCCCCAATTTGGCATTCAATCCCTCAAGACAACCGATGGACCGGCCGGTGTCCGGGGAGCAAAATGGACGGACGGCTCGTACACAACTTTCATTCCCTGCGGCATTTCCTTGGGTGCGACATTTGACCCGCAGCTTATCGAACGTGTCGGCACCGTTTTGGGTGCTGAAACTAAAGGCAAGAAAGCACATATCCTTCTTGCGCCAACGATGAATCTCAGTCGATCTCCGTTGGGAGGGCGGAACTTTGAGAACTTTGGAGAAGACCCCTTTCTGACTGGTGTCATGGCCATGCACTACATTCAAGGAATCCAGAGCCAAGGTGTCGGAGCGTGTATGAAACATTTTGTCGCCAACGACCAGGAGACCCGGCGCTTCAATATGGACGAGCAAATTGATGAGCGGACGCTGCGTGAAGTGTACCTCAAGCCTTTCTACATGGCCCTGAAGGCCGATCCCTGGGCAGCAATGACGAGCTATCCCAAGATCAATGGCGAGCACGCTGATACCAGCCGACATTTGGTATATGAGATTCTGCGCAAGGAGTGGGGGTTTCAGAACATGGTGATGAGTGATTGGGGCGGCTTGAACTCGACGGTCGGAAGTATCAAGGCTACTACAGACCTCGAGATGCCAGGACCACCGGTACGGTACGGGCCTGAATTGGAGGCAGCTGTGTGTGCGAGGCAGGTTTCGGAGAAAGATGATATCGACCCATCTGTGCGAAGAGTGCTGAGAACCCTTGATCGAGCCGGTCTTCTTTCTTCCCATGAAGATTCTAAGAATGTCTCTCCGACGTCGGTCGTCGATGCGATCAATGACGCTACTGCCAAAGGGTGCGAAGAAACCCTTGACAGACCTGAATTCCGAGCTATTGCGCGCGAAGCCGCAGCATCAGGAATTGTACTTCTGAAGAACAGTGATGACATTCTACCGTTGCAGTCTGCTAAACTGAAGAAAATAGCCATTGTTGGACCCAATGCGAAAACACCAACGGCGGGTGGCACAGGCAGTGCCATTGTGAACCCGTACTATATCACCACCCCTTACGAGTCCATCGTCGAAGCCGCTCAAAATATCAATCCAGATGTTGAAATTGTACATGAACAGGGAATCCTCACCCATCTGCATCTGCCTTTGTTGGGGGACATTCTTACCACCCCAGATGGCAAGATGATTGGAGTCCAGGTGGACTTCTACCATGGCCACAATTTCGAAGGCGATATTGTTGCCACAACCTATTGGCAGAATTCCATGGTGTATCTGATGAGCGATGGTGACATACCTTCCAGCCTTCGCGGGCAGCCATACTGCTTCCGTGTGCTGGGGCGATTTACACCCACCATCAGCGGAGAATATGATTTTAGCCTCTCCAACACTGGCAAAGCCATGTTCTTCGTGAATAATGAGTTGTTTATCGACAACAGGGAATGGAGCAAAATATGCGCCAATTTCATGAATTGCAGCAGTCCAGACAAGCTGGACTCGATGCATCTCCAAGCAGGCGTCACGTACGACTTCCGGATCGACAATGTAGCTGTGCCTCCACCAACTCGACCGCATGACAACACCTTATTTCATCGCATTGCCGGAGTCAAAGTTGGAATGTTGATTCAAAGTGATGAAGAGACTATGATGGAGTCAGCATTGAATGCGGCTCGGGAGGCAGATGTGACAATTGTTGTTGCAGGCCACAACAATGACACGGAACGCGAAGGCTGTGACCGCATCTCTCTTGCTCTCCCGCGGCGAACCGACGAACTGATTCATAAGCTCTGCGAAGAAAACTCCAACACTGTCGTTGTGACTCAATCTGCATGTGCTATCACAATGCCATGGGCTAGCAAGGCACGCGCTATCGTTCATGCCTGGTACCAAGGACAAGAAAACGGCAATGCTTTGGCAGATGTCCTACTCGGTTATGTGAACCCGTCTGGGAAGTTGCCTCTCACCTTCCCGCATAAGCTTGAGGATCATGGCTCTCATTCTTGGTTCCCGGGAGATGCAGTCAAGGATCATGCTGAATATGGCGAGGGGGTTCTTGTTGGTTACCGTTGGTTTGACGACCAAAAAATCGAGCCGCTTTGGCCATTCGGCTACGGGCTCTCGTACACTACTTTCGAGATCACTGGTGTACAAGCAGAAGGCGCCATTGCAGCAGACGGATCACAGAATGCGACAATAATTGCCACTGCTACTAATACCGGACAATGCGCCGGCAGTGAAGTCATTCAGGTCTATGTGTCTTCATCTTGGTGCATAAAGGCTGCCCCAAAAGTCCCGAAGGCACTGGCTGGCTTCAAAAAGGTGTTCCTCCAGCCAGGGGAGAGTAAGACAGTCCATCTTTCTATCGGTTGTGATATAGTAGCCTGGTATGATACAGAAGCGTGCAATGGCACCGGTCCAGCTGGAAGATGGCGCATAGATCAAGGAACATACCAGTGCTTTGTCGGTTCCAGCTCGCGGGATATTTGTGCAGCAGTAGATGTTATAGTAGAATAGTCGATCTGGCGTCAGAAAAATATCAAAAATCACTACTGCAGTTGTTCCTAGCGAGGTATATTTTAATTGAATGAATTAACCATCCGGCGCTTGTCACAAAGGGCTGTTGCGACTTTCAGCATAAGTTCAATACTAGAACCCTTACAGGTCCATCTTTTCAGTACTGAAATTGCTATTTCTTCCAGCTCTTCGATGTCAGAGACGTATTCTGCTAGGAGGGGGCAGAGAGATGCTACTGTCAGATTGATAATAACAGCCAGCGTCCTGTACTTCAATTTCAGCATGAGTTATTTAAGATCAAAATGCTTGAGCTGGTGGTTAGTACTTACGAATGAAGTTGAATCATTGTGAACGGAGATGGTACTTTCGTGAGCGATAAAACTAGCTGCAAGAATTGACGACAATGATGGATGCAGCTCAAGGCTGGCTCCATGAGGGCTTCATCTGGAATCAGCCCTTGCTGGGTAGAACAGACTTTATACAGAAAAGGGCGGAAGATAATATCGCCACAGGCCCAGAATCGTAATGCCAGATCTTGATGATTGGCGTCTGGGCTACTATCCAAACTCGGTTTGATAGACGGCGGAAGGAGATCCCACCACATATTTAGTTGATGGCTCAGCTCTGACGACGTAGCAAAAAGCATATTTGCATTTGGTGAGTCCAACAATCTATCCAGAATTTGCTCAGAATGATCATTGCTGCCGCTGCTGCTGGTGTTATACATGGTGAAGTGAACCCGGTTCATTAATCTGCGGGCCGATAGATTTCCGAGCCAGGGAAGGATGTGTTGATCAAGGCTGTGGGGACCACACTCTGGATAAGGGAGCCTTTCGATAATGTTCTCGATTCCACTTCTGGGGAGATGGTATTCGGCCAGAAGGTCACTGCCATAGTGAGTTCATGATTATGGGGCAAGGTTTTGCCATAAAGATAAGTAATAGACATACCACTCCACTAAAAATATTGCCCAGCATAATCGCATCAAATCTTGAGAGATTTGTGCTCCTTGGCTGTCGGATCTGGATAAAAACGAAATCAGCATGGGTTATGTGCGACCAAGACTCGAAAGCTTACTCAAGGAATACATGTTGTATATTAGTTGATGCCATGTGTATCATCCGCCATGCCTGCACAGGTTTGCACAGAAAGTTGTACCAAGAGGCGGCCAAAAACAGACCCTGACACAGACCTGTATCTGTCTTACAGTATGATAGCCATTTCTGGAGTAGGAATTGTATAGAAGGACCGGATAAACGGGACGCAGGCAGTATACCACCAATAATGCTGTCTGGCAATTCCTGAGAAACACTTGCCAGGGCAAGAACCATCATCACCAAAGCGACGTTCGTGTCCATTGCACCTTGTAGATCAGTAGAATCAAAAATGGCACTGAAGGCTTCTTGGTCAAGAATTGGAAACTTCGGATTTACTTGCGCAAAGTATACATTCACCAGCTCAGCAGCGGCTGTTTTCTCTAGGGATGGCTCTGACACATCAGCCCTTGAATTTAGTTTTAGTGCGAGCTCATCCGACTGCTTTCGGTTCTGTTCAGTCTTTAGAAACATATCCTTCGGGTGGTCCCCAAGAAAGGCCTTCATGATTTGAGAACGGAGGAGATCCTCAGAAGTTGATCCATGTCCAAGAGGGATCGTCATGGGCACGGAGTCATTGATGCTAGACGACGTTGGCCCACTGGGGAAACGATTGATCGAATTTAATGTCGCAGCCGGTGTATGTATAGCCAACGAGGCATCCTCAGAATGGGCAACATTTCGAGTGTTGACAAGTCGTTCTACTTGCTTTTTGATAATACGCATGTCAACCACGCATTCCTCAACGTCCGCCCGAAGCTGAGCCAGGCAGGTGCTCAGTGGAAGATCTGGCTCCGAGCTGCCGGCATTGGTGCTAGTTTCCCTTTCAGTTCGAGAAGGAAGATTGACTCCGTAGCGACATCTCGTCCGATTAGACTGTTGGCAAAGTGAACATACGGGCTGCTTTCCATCGCAGCGGCGTTTTCTAGATGTTTCATAGTCAGCGCTTGGATGCCGGGAGGCAAGGCCGAGGCATACCGTTTTCGGCAATATTCACATGCAATCACAGCTCTCCTTCGCGTGTTCGATCGGACATCAGTGTCGTTCATGGTTCACTAAGTCCGAACTGTTAGAGGACGCGACCGGAGAATGTTCAGGGAAGAAGAAGCGCGTTCGAGGCGGAAGAGGCGGGAGGGGCGGGAATTGTTACCTAACCAAGGCGGGAGAGGCGGGCCGCCCGCCCGAGCGTTCTCTAGTTCTCTCATAAAGGATCTTGACTTGAAAACTTCCATCCTTCCAAGATCACATTTTCCCTGGTACAACCCTCATCAGATGAGGGAAAAGTCTCGATAAATGACAAGAAATCAGCCCTTATATCCGTCCAGCTAGGTAAACAACATCAACTCTAGAGATATACAAGATGTCATTATTATCCAGTCCTTTCATCCAGTCGTCCTGAATGAATTCTCGCAAAAATCATTTTGCCTCGGTGAATTCGACATGCTCAACCGCACCATCCCTGTCTCCCTTAGATTGCCCAAAAGACGATATATCTCCCTTCCTCATGGTCATCGCGTAGGCAGTAACCTGCCACCAATGCTCTGGCTCCGAGAATAACCTCTCCATTTCCTCAAGGGAAAAGCCCCTCGTTTCCGGGAAACACAGATACGGCACGATACCAGCAAACACTCCAATCACTGCATACACAATATAATAGCGCCAAGCAATTGTGACGAACGCAATCGGCGTGATCTCCACAATGACAAAATTGAAGAGCCAGTGCGTGGCGGTCCCGATAGCAGACAGGTGGACTCGGAGATCCTGGGGGGCGATTTCCGTGCAGTAAAGAAAGTTGGCACCCAGGAATCCCAAGGGAAAGAAACACATGAAGAAGAAAAGAAAGAAAGTAGCGGCCACGGAGGCGCCAAAACTGCCCTGATTTTGGATGGCCCAGACGGTGCCTGCCAGACCGGCCATGGAGATCCCCATCCCCAGGCCGGCGATGATGAACAACAGCTTGCGCCCAAAACGATCAACAGTCAAGTAAGCGGAGAAGGCAGCGACGATTTTCCAAGTTAATAACCCGGCATTAAGAAGGGCTGCTTTCTCAGACGCGAGGCCCAGCGACGTTTGAAAGATCGTCTTGCCGTAGTAAGAAATGACGTTCGCACCGGTCATCTGGGCACAGAAGTTGATTCCGAACGCGAGACAAAGGCGATAGAACAGACGCTGTCGATCATGCTTAAAGAGATGACCAAAACCTCGCTCAGAGCTCGTGGCCTCTTGGAGAGTAGTAGTGATGGATCGAATTTCCAATGTGATTGATTCATCGTGGTCATCCTGTTTCCCGGCAAGTGTAGCCATAGCGCAGCGGGCATCATCAAAACGCCCTCTGCTGATAAGCCAGCGAGGTGACTCGGGAAAGAGCATCGTAAAGCCCATGAGCATCATGGTGAACACTATCGGTAATGCTAGCGGGAGTCGCTAGGCAATTTCACGATCCGAGCTGGATGAAAGGCCATAATTGACCCAGCCGGCTAATGCAATTCCCGTTGCAATGAAGATCCCAATGATGACCACGCTCTTCCCACGGCTTTTCACCTTTGTACACTCGCTTTGCCAGACCGGAACGATTGTATTGACGCCCCCATTTCCAATACCGGATAAAATGCGACCGACGATGAGTTGAGGGAGGCGAAAGGAGGTGCATTGAATGACGAGGCCGATTGTAGCCACGGCGGAGGCGATGATCAGGGTTTGACGCCGCCCAAGCCGGTTTCCAATTGGGGCTACTCCGAGGGCACCGAAAAGACAGCCAAGAGTATAGATAGAGGTCACAGTTCCTATGCGAGTTGATTAGAGAAAGCCTCCCAGGAACATGTCTGTAAGGGTGACTGCGAAGGGGAAAAGATTATCACTCACCCTGAACCCTAGCATTAGTAGCCTTGGTGGTACCCTCTGTACTCACAGCGCCAATAGCTGGGAAGTGTTTCACAAAAGAATCATAATCCAGAACTCCACCCATATTAGACTGATTGTAACCGAATAACAGGAATGCGGGAACAACGATACAAAAAATGCGAGCTGTGGCCAGGGCTGAACCTGTGAGACCAGCGAATGCCATGATAAAGGTTAGGCTATGATTTGCAGGATACTTTTGCGTCTCCTTCGCAGTCTTGAGTGTAGCTATATAAGAGAATTTAAGATGGCTAGGTATAAGAGGTAGAATAGAGATATTGGTCGAATTTGTGATACCAAACACTGAGCTGCGAAAGGGCAGAAATCCATCAGACCAGCTCACTTAAATAGTAGCGAACAATATTTAATTAATCCTATGATGCCAACACATGTCAAAAAGCGAAAGAACGCTTTCGTCCCTCTCCAGAGTACTCCTACACCCAGGTGAGCATTCTCCCTTCCCCAACATACCCCGGCATACCCCGTACCCCATGCCCCAGACAAGGCGGGGGTGCCAAGTGTATATCACTTAGCTTAGCATTTTGTCTGTATGAGGCATAGAAAGCTTGCTGATATTCATCCTTCGCGGCGTCACTAGTGTCATTAGTTCTTCCGAGTTAGCCAAAGCCTTTCTCCTGAAAGTTTTGCCAAAATGTTTCGCCACAAATTTACACCAATATCATGCTCCCTACTGACAGAAATTGTGCAATTTGCATGTCTTAATGGGCCTGAGGACCCCGATTTCAACGGCTACAACAATTTCTTATGGTCTAGAAAAGGTGCGTTCCAAAGCTGTGCATAGAAACAATAGCTCCCGAGTGTCATCCCACCCCACACCACAATGTCTTCCCAAAAACCGCTTGTTCTTTTCTTCAATGCTGTCAGGCATGCCCATTCTTCATTTCAGCAGCTGCAACAGATGGCCCGCACGGAGATCGTCACAAGCAAGAACAGGGAAACATTCTTCCAGGACATTCAGGGCAAGTACAAAGATGCCTTTGCCATCTATAGAACATCCGCCAGTGGGGCAGTAAGTATACACTGCTTCCTCAAGCCCTCTGATATGTACCGTACAGCACATACTAAATATGGATGCTAGGTGGCTGGTAAGTTCGATGCTGAGTTCATCGATCATCGGCCAGAGAGCTGCAAGTTCATCTGTCACAATGGCGCCGGTATTTCTCATGCTCTAGAAGCTCACTCGGATCGTGTTGATAATTCTGCAAAGGGTACGATCCAATCGACACAAACGCCTGTGCCAGGAGGGGCATCATAGTCACCAATGCTCCCAGCCCCGTTACCGATGCCACCGCTGATTTGGCGGTCTTTCTCCTCCTGGGAGCCCTGCGTCAGGTCAACCCGGCTATGGTCACCCTTCGATCGGGGAAATTCAAAACAGGCGTAGACTTCGGTCATGATCCTCAAGGAAAGACGCTGGGAATCCTCGGTATGGGTCGCATTGGACGCGCGATCGAAAGCCGTGTTCGTCCATTTGGCATCAACACGATCTACCACAGCCGGAATCCTCTTCCGGACGAAGAAGCTGCCGGGGCTGAATACGTTTCTTTTGATGATTTACTGTCGAAGAGCGACATTATCAGCCTTAATTTACCACTCAACCCCAAGACGAGGCATTTGATTGGAGCGGCAGAGATCGCGAAAATGAAACCTGGAGTTGTTATCGTTAACACGGCGCGAGGTGCGGTAATCGACGAGGCTGCCATGGCCGATGCATTGGAGGATGGGCACATTGCTGCCGTGGGCTTAGATATTTTCGAAGAAGAGCCCAAAATCAACGATAAACTACTAAAACAGCACCGGGCGTTCATGGTGCCGCATATTGGTACCCATACATTTGAAACTTTGGCCAAGATGGAGACTTGGGCTATGGATAATGTGCGATGTGCCATTTTGGGAGAGGAACTGCTGTCTCCTGTTGCAGAGCACCAACATTTGGCGCAAAAGAGACATTGAGCATGTCTTTCGTCTTTTAGTTTGATATGTGTAATCAAATAAATACTGGTTCAATGGGGAAATGAAATCCCAGGTAGGTATACCGAGAGAGTCCACAGCCTTTAATTCCCTGGTCTATCTTCAGACTCGGTCACACCTTTGAGCCGATGTCAGAATCAACCTTATTTTAAGTCCCTTACGAGGTGCTGTAACATCAGATAAGATTTCAACAACAAAATAGAATTGAGACATATAGCAAAAAGTTAGTCTTTAATAACTGTTGGTTTTGACGCGAGCTCACCCGATATCAGACTGCCGACTCATAGTTTTTCAATAAATTGAATTGATCTACGGTGTAAGTATCAAATCCGAAAAGGAAGGCCCGAGACCAACTCACTAAGTCCTGGCCCCTTTTCGGCTATAATCCTCTATCCTGGGCAGAACGAACTGGCTGATCTTTTAGCCGATGCTAGCCCTGTTAGTGGACTATATTGCACGTATACTGTCTGCAGAGGACATAAAACACCATGGAATCTCACAACTCAATTTTAATTCTAAATTTCTACACTAGAGGGAGCAATCTTTGCTGAAAACACTCGATATCCGTAGATTTCACCATGGTCAAAATCGCACTTCTGGGAGCCGCTGGCCAAATCGGAACCCCGCTCAGTCTCTTATGCAAGGCGGTAAATACCCTCCTTTGAATGGACTGAACCTGTAATTGATGGCTATCTAGAGCGGCTTATTCGATGATATCTCTCTTTACGACATTGTGCACGCACCCGGCATTGCGGTGGATTTGATGCACATCGATACTCACACTAAAGTTACCGGACATCTGTCATCAGATGATGGGTTGAAGAAAGCTCTTAATGGTGCGGACATAGTGGTAGTGACTGCTGGGATCGCTCGAAAGCCTGGAATGACTCGCGATGGTAAGTGTGTCTCAAAACTCCATCAATGCGAAACGAATGACGTCTAATTCGTCTGCAGATCTCTTCAAGGTGAGGGTTTCCCATCTTGTACATCCTAACGCCTTGAACTCTCGTTTACATTGACGAATCAAGACAAACGCTTCAATCATTCGAGATATTTTTGCAGAGATCGCTGTGACATGCCCTACCGCCACATGCTGCGTCGTGACGAACCCCGTCAATTCCACCGTCCCCGTCGCGGCCGAGACTTTAAATCGAGCGGGTGTCTTCGATCCCACGCGACTGTTTGGAGTGACTACTCTCGACGTTGTGCGTGCCTCGACCTTCGCAGCACATGCTTTGGGTGGAAACGCGGACCCTAAGGATTTCGCCGTCCCAGTGATCGGTGGCCACAGCGGCGCCACGATCATTCCACTTTACAGCCAGGCCAAACCAGCGGTTGATCTAGATGAGCAGACGCTTTCTGCTGTTATTCATCGTAAGGTCTCACTTTTCCGGGAGTGCTTTCAGCTGTACTAATGAATGGCTTCGCTAGGGGTGCAATTTGGCGGAGACGAGATCGTCAAGAGTAAGCAGGGAGCAGGCAGTGCCACAACCTGCATGGCATATGCTGGTTTTCGGTTTGTTAAAGCTATTCTTTCCGCAAGGAATGGCGAGTCTATCGTCGAGGAGGCTTATATCTATCTTCCCGGTGTTCCGGGAGGCAAGGAAATTGTGGCCGAGCTGGGAGTGGATTACTTCGCGGTGAAGGCGCAGCTGGGTAAAGCGGGCGGCGCTCTCCAGGCATTACCCATTGGTGAAATCTCTGCCTTCGAGAAGAAGTTGCTTGAGGTGGCGATTCAAGACCTAAAGGGAAACATTGCCACGGGTGTGGATTTTATGGCGCAGTAAATTCCTATGGAACGGTGAGAATACAAATAATTGCATGGCCGCGGGTGCTTTGGCGCCTTTCCATAGTAGTTGAGAAGGTGGCCACCATTGAATATCAAAACTTTCTGTTTGTCTCGAACAATGAACAAGACTCAAGAGTATTAGTAGGCGGCATGCTGCGTAGGCGAGGGGTGAGGGGTGGGAATGCTCCTAAATCATAGTAGTTGCTCTATCAGAGTAAAAACTAGAATACTGGAAAACACTGTCGAGTTCATCGGCCAGTTTCGGGACCCTGAAGAAACAACGAGCCCAACAGCTGCATGCATGACCCATGATTCAAACATGGTGTCCATTGCCGACCCTAAGACGCTAGTATCTAGACCTTCAACCGGGGGTTCTGCAAACTGCGGTTAGATCCGGAGGAACGGACTGATTGGATCCTCGATATAGACTTCTAAGACTAGTGATCCTCTAGCGCCGAAGGATAGATTGGCTTTGACCCCATATTCCGTTCTGGGAACGACCCGAGGCTGGCCAGATCTCTTGGCAATATGAGGTTCTTCGCCTCGCGGTAAGAATAGCCGATATACATCAAGATAGCAGAAACTTTTGCTTCAATTTTCCCAACTCGGATAACTTCACTTATGTGTGTCTCACTTTTAGTCCCTACTGCGATATCTATTCGCACACCGACTCAAACCCCATCAGCACTAACATAGCAACTATTCATGGCCAATCCCACTATCATCCCTAGAATCGAAAAGACATCCCCATACTCCTGATCCGGAAGAAAGATGAAAAAAACTTTGAACACTCAAAGCACCACTACATAAAGCACATCCTCCCCAACCCAACTGCCTACTCCATCATCAACTCTCAATCCACCTCCAAGCATCTATCTTAAAGCACCCCAACAATCCCTTCACAATGCAGTTCTCCCTCCTTACCACCCTCTGCGCGCTCGTCGCCTCCGTCTCCGCCATCCAGATAAACTACTACAGCGATGGCGGTTGCAAGGACTTCATCACCTCTCCTCCCAACGTCCCCATTGGCAAGTGCTACGATTACGCCTGGGACGGACAGAACAGTGCCAACATCGCCAACTGCGACGGCAACGTCTATGGCTGCAAATGCTACTTCTATGCTCAGGCTGGTTGCAAAGGCGCTGTTGACGCCGCAAACACCGGTAGCTATGTGGGCAACAACTGTGTCTCTAACTGGGGTCATGGGTTCAAGTCCTTCCACTGCTTTGTGGATCACGGTCTTTAAGGAGATAAATCGGTATGCTGCTTTCCCTTTGAATTTGTTGGGCTAAGCTAATATGTTTCTTAGAAGATCTACATACATTTTCTGAAATGGGGGAATTCCGAGGAAGGAGAAACTGGTGCTGAAAGCTGTGGAATAAGGGTTCTTTTCAACCGATTTTATAGTTAGTTAGTTAGTTAGTTAACTATGATCATATTCAATTGAATAAAGGTCTTAATTCTTCTAACTGCACGATAAAGAAGCCGATATTTATGCAATCTCAGAGGCTTCAGGATCGTCATAAAATGAGCGGAATTGCATGATCTATATCGTCATAAATCATACGGTTCATATTGATCGGTTGCATAATTGGTCCGGTCAAGCAAGGCGATGATATAAGCGGTTTAGTCATCTTCCGCGGCCACAGTTCTGTTCACTCAAATGTTATTGTTGATGAGTTATTTAGCTGTCATATCACCCATTAGATAGTCATGTATTTGAACTGTTTTTTCTTTCTTGTTTCTCTTAAAGACTAAATTTTATTAGTATGTAGGCATCTAGGAGGGAAGCTCGCCACTTGCCCTCATATTTGATAACAGAGCCAATTCTCTTGATATGAATCAAAGTAAGGCCAGATGAGAAGCTACAATAGATGATCGTCTTGTGCAGCTTGGAGAATAATCACGGAGTTGCTGTCTTTCATTCTCGTGGGAGTGTATGTCGAAAGATCTTCGATCCTTGGTGCAGTTTTCTTCCTCTTATACGAAGTTTCTCAATAGCGGCGTATTGTCCTTCGACTCTCCATTTCCCCAAACAGGCTCGCCATCATCATCAAACTCTGCCCACTGAAAGAAACCACAAGATTTCTTCCCAGGTGCGAACCCGGCGTAACACATCCACATGTACCTGCCCTTTGACTCGCGCTTGCGCTGAGCACACCGCAGGATTGCATGTTGGTCACAGTGGCACCGGGGCGTATTTCGCGGATGCAAGGAGTCACGATACCACCGATAGGTGATATTGATACGTCTATTCCCCGATAGCGCGTGTGGTGAGATGGTCTGTGCCGGAGCAATAGCATGCTTCCATTCCTCCTGCATTTCAGCATGCATGACCAGAAGAGAGTTGTGTGGCAGGTGGATCGAAATTTGACCTTGCGCGTCCGCTCGAGCATCCGCAGCTTTCTGGGATCGTTTTGGCTCGGAAATGTTTTCCGAGCTTGACGTTGGAGTGTCTTGACCGTTGTCATCTTCATGATCGTAGGGCACAATCCTTCGGACACGGAATTCACGCTCTACGCCCAGACTGAGACTCCCGATGATAGCTCGGGGGCCGAGATAGGTGAGTTCGTCAGAGTGGTACCCAACACTCTCCGCTGGGCCATCATAGCAATTCACAAATGCCGCATTAGGCTGCCATTCTTTAGGAGACTGATATCTGAGCTTTTGACCATCCGGATAAAAGTCCCGGATTCGGTCCTGAACCGCTTGATTCACGGCACGTTGGACTTTGGCAGAGACAACGCGCATGTGCGGAGTAATCTGCCGCACATTGGAGCGATAGGTGCCGCCATATGTGTATTCCGATGTATGTTGCTTGTACTCCTCAGGCGTAGACACATATACACTAGCAGAATGAGGACTTTCCACCGTCCGCTCGAACAGTTGAAACTTGTACCTAGAGAAATGCTTGGATTCATCTAATAGTTCCAAAAGAATTGCATTTGCCTGCTCTGCCGGCAGAAAGTTGTGGATCAGCGTACACGGGGTTTCAGCAGCAATATCTTCGGGGGCGAAGAGATGCAGGGTCTGCCCTTTCTTGGTACGAGGAGCTTTTGATGCGGACGGCCCCTTCCCAGGTGAAAGAACATGTGATGCTAAGGACGTTTGAATCGCCGTGCCTCCAAGAACGGCCCTTTTCTTAGGAGGGTTAGCTGAGAATTGTGCTGCTATTGTAGACGAAGCCGATTCGACAGAGCCTCCACAAGAAACCAAAACATCAATAAGGGCTTCCTGGGTGATTTCCGGAAAGAGTGATATGAGTTGGGCCAATTTCACGTCTGTTGAGTCTTCTTCGGAAACCGTGGTATCTCCAGGTTTTGGAGGCGACTGTGGGAGTGTGGGTGAGCTGGGACGCGGCCTTTTCTTTGACAGATATCGATCCATCGGAGAGAGCCCTGGCTCAGACCTGAAGCCATCGATGGGGCGCGATGAAAGAAGAATCAGGACACGAAGATTCACGAGACGGAGCGGATTTGTCATGCAGTAGCACGTGATTGCTGTGGAAGTATCCAATCAGGGAACAATATGTATACTTCGAGGTACAGATGGATATCAGAAGAGCTGTCGAATACACCCTATCGGCGGAGAACAAGTCCCGATTCCATGAAAGGAGCACTGAGGCGTACAGTTTAGTCTCAAACTTCCTCACCCTCTGGGGTCCAAGACTCCGTCAACCTCGACGACGCGAACTTCTCCGTTGGGCAAGTGTAGGTCATGTCGGCCGGGAGATATATACACATGATTTGCATATCGACAATGAGAGCACTCGTGACGGTTCGCGGGGCAAAAATAAAGATCTATCGGCGGTGGATAGGTCAGCCAGTAAATAGAAAGTTAAGAGGAGAGGGAGAAGTAAGATGAGGATAAAGAGATGAAGGTGTTCGCAGTTGATGCCTGATTCCCCAGGCCATAAATGCGGGGAACATCCGACTCCGGCGGAAGAAGTCCGTCGTCGCCTCCCCATAATCTTCTCTCTGTCCTTTCTCAACGACTTTGCTGTTCATGCTGTTCTCGCATTCGATCCGCAACAGTTGATCGTTAAATTGGGCCAAAACATGGAATGAGGCACCCAAGGGCTGTTTGAGGTTTAATAGTCTTATCATGGACTCGGCAAAGAAGAACCGGAATCGCGCCGCTTGCCGCCGCTGCCAGAGACGGAAGATCCGTGTACGTCTCCAACCTGTATTGGACGGCGATTGAAACTAACAACATTTCTATCCCAGTGTGATGGGCAGGCGCCTCGTTGTGGATCATGTCACAAAGCCAACGTTCCCTGCATCAGCGATGGGAAGCAGGTTGTCCATCGCTCGTAAGTTCGCATGATACTTGACATTCGTTGACAATCTTAGTTAATTGGTAATGTTAGGTATATTGCGAGCATGGAGAAGCGCATCAAATGGTTGGAGATGACTCTCCAAGAAAGCTGCCCTAGCGTGGATCTGAGTCAAGCCCCAAACCGCGAAACCGCTCGACTGGATGATTCGGTCATGCTTGATGACGAGCCCGAGGAATCATCTATTCTTAGTCCACAACAGCCACGTATCGTGGATGAGGATCCCGGTATAGACCAAGGCAGGATCCAAAATCCCAGCGGTCCAGTCCGTCCTTTGCGAGCTGCTTCACGAATGGAATCTCGACAAGCCCATGAGGTTGGCTTAGTTTCACTTTCTCCGGGAGGCGAGCCGCGATATATCGGACCATCCAGCGGGTACTTCTTCGCTAATCTTGTTTTCTCGAACGCTGGTCGACAACAACAGCGACGGGGCATTATCAGTGACCCTGCCGGTGCAGCTCCGGGTGATCCGGCCTCTTTAGCAGCGGAGCTTCTCCAGACACCTGCGTCTTTGCCGCTACGAAAGGAGAGCGCCGAGGAGTTGTCATCCAAATACTTCGAGACGATCCATGTGAGCTATCCATTCCTCCACCAACCGTCTCACCTGGATTATATCGAACAGATGTATACATCCGAGCATGTGTCACCAGTGGTAGCGTTCCAGGTCTATATGGTCTTGGCTATCGCCGCCTCTGACCTTTCGCGGAGATCTAAACTTCGGCTTCCTGCGGATGGGTATTATACCTCAGCGATGCAGTATTTCAACCAATTCTGTCCGGATGGCTCGCTAGCCGGACTGCAATCACTCCTGCTACTCATGATCTATGCGTTGCACAATCCGTCTTGCGGCGTGAATATCTGGAATCTCAACTACCAGTGCTTGGCATCGCTTATAGATCTCGGTTTGCAGCGAGATGTTCGCAGCACGCCTTCCTTTAATATGTCTCTCCTTGAGCAAGAGATGAGGACGAGAGTGTTTTGGGTGGTTTACACGTTTGACCGGACCATCGGTACGATGATGGGACGGCCGGTCGGCATCAGAGACGAAGCTTGCGACTTGCGAGTGAGTATAAGAACAAATTGACTCAACTTGCGCGATGCTAATCTACTCAGATTCCATTGGACATAGCAGATCCAGACCTTCTGGATAATAATTCGCGCGAACGGAATGCAGAGGAGCCATCCTCGCACATCTCTTTTGGAATACATTTGTTTAAAGTCGCTCGCTTGAACTCGGAGATTAAATATGTCATGCATAGTATCTCCCGAGAGGCTCCGGCCTATGCCTATCCGCCTGTGAAAGATATCTTCCACTGGCAAAACGAGATGCTCGAAAAGTTGCGAAGCTGGCGATCAAAGATCCCGCAATCTGACATGAGCATGAGCGCGAAGCTTTGCGAGGCCAAATACCACGAGATGATGATTTTGGTATTACGACCGAGTCCAGCCATCCCAGAGCCGCCAGAACAGTCCGCAATTTTATGCTTTCGACATGCAATGGCGCTACTTGAAAGCTTTCGTGATCTATACAAGAATGACTGCCTACAATATAGTCGACTAGTGGTACATTCAATCTTCTTGAGCACTCTCGTCGTTTTGCATAGCATTTGGAAGTTGCCCGATGTTGCTGCAAATATTCACATTGATGAGCTATCGGCCAACTTGACTTCATCGCTCAACATTCTAAGCAGTATTGGCGAATATTGGCTGGAGGCCCAGCGCGCTAGGGATTGTATCGAGGAAATATCCGGGGTCACCATGAGACGACTGTTAAAAACCCGATGTGCACCAGGAGCTCCCACTACGCCCCGAGTTCGGTCAAGGGGTCGCACGAATAACGAAGATTTGCGGTTCTCTTCCTCGCAAGACCAAATAAATCCGGCTTCTAGTGGCCAAGAGCAGCAGCAGGTAGATCCTAACATCCTAGCAACAAACTCAGCAGGTTTAGATGAGCCAGAATTAGGGTTTTCCGGCGCCTTATTAGGTGACTCTGAATCAGTACAACTCTTCGGTGACCCAGCACTTGACGGCTTGTTCGGGATGACAGGAGTCCCTGATTTCGATGGATTAATGTGGGAGTTTTTCAACATTCCCCAATGACCGGTCTGACGACAGGACATTATGATCATGATTTGTCCGAACTCATATGGATTAAAATACCGGATTGTTTATGGATATATAGTGCACGCCTTTTACAACACATCACGTTCCAAGTCCCATTGTCCGTTCCCTGTATATATCCGGCCGGGCTGATGGTACTCCACGAGGCCATTTCCATGTCGCAGCCCATTATATACTTCGACCAGTGACGATAACACCACCGTCGTCCAGCCAGGATACGGTCCAACGGCTGGATTCGAATTTCTTCGTACCTTATCCGGGAAGTTCTCTTCCACAACTTTGATCGGACATCGCGAAAAGTCACCGTCCTTTCCTTCCGATACGGCCGCATCCATTCGTTTCGTCAATGAGGCCAACACAGCATCATCCACTATCAGGCATATCCTTAAACGGACTGGCAATTCAAACGAGGGCAAGGCCATGGCAATCTTCCATTGCCTAAAGGCTTTCCGAATGGTCGCTTCGTCGGCCCCTTCATACGAGTTCTCAATGCTAAAGACCTTAGACGCATAGGTGGTTTCCAAGAGATGCAATTGCTTGGGCGTTCCCGAGAGGCATCGTGGCAGAGCTTGTTGCGTCTGGTTATTCAGTTCTCGCAGGAATATGGGTAGGAGGCGGTCCGATTCGGGGGCATACGTCGTTCGATAGATGATGGGACCCCACGTAAGGGTTAGGAAGTCGCGTTCGGGGCTTGGAGGCAGGGAGCGCAGGCCCGGCTGGGCGCCGAGTCGGTAGACCTCGGATTGGAGGAATCGTGAAGCGGCCGAGGGCTCGGGAGATTGACTGGAGGGCATAATCTTTGCGGTTGATTAGTGAAGATCTTCCAGGTACGTGCGTTCTGGGGGTGGTGTTCGGTCATGGTGCTTCAAGTGGATCCCTACAGGATGTTGGCGTCACAATGACATCGACGACACCGTGGATATTGTGCCCCAGGAGCGCGTCGAACAAAAACATGTCTTGCTTCAGAGGACAGCCAGATTATAAGAAAGAACGATTTCAATTTCTCTCGCGGTTATATGGTTTTTAACATTTTTTTATTTCAAGTTTCTTCCCTCCCTTTTTTGCATGAACCTACCCATCCCTTGGGGCCCGTAGCTCTGAATCCATTCTGCGGCCATGAAAAACCACACAACCCTTCATTATCTAGCAGTCTAACTTGTATACTGACTCCAACAAACCTATGTCATACACATCTAGCCGTAAATGGCTGAAATTGGGGTTTTAATACCCCAGCTAAAGCCAGCCTAAGACATTATTGTGCCTGAAATTGCATAGCATCGTCGGCCATGAGCTCTGATCAATTCAATTCAAATTCGATAGCAAACCTGACTTGCACGTCAGGCACGAGCACTAACAGCGCTTTCTGATTTCCCTCACTTTCCGGAGCTTCCTAACGGTCGTTTATCACAGTGAAACAGTGAATGCCTTCCGTTCTCCCGTGTGGTTTCAAAGTAGGTGGACCATATCACGACGCAGTGACAGGAGAGTAGCAAGATGGTCAGAGCCAGGAGGAATGTAATAACACAAGCGTCAACAAAGAAAGCACGCCGTCACTGTCGGCCGACGTAGAGCGACGTGAATGTGAAAGAGAAACACCGACGAACTTCACGGCCGTGACGTAAAGCGCGCTAAGACGAAAACGGCAGACCTCGGTTCGTCTCCCCGCATTCTCGCCTGAGGCATCCTCGCTCTTGTCCTTCTCGGCCTTCTCTCTCTCTTCCTTCTCTTCTCTCCTCACGCATGGACTGCCGCCACGCCCAACCTCTTGCCTTTCCTGCTCTCTTTCTCACCCATCCTCTTCGCGTGGCGCTCCTCTCTCCCTCTTTCTCCCTCAGTTAGGGAACCATGCTCCGTTTCAGAACCGAGGGCTATAACGGCTGCGCAGTCAAGTACTCGCCCTTCTTCGACAATCGGCTCGCGGTTGCTGGATCGGCCAATTTTGGCTTGGTTGGCAATGGACGTCTGTTTATTCTGGAACTGACTCCCAACGGCATTGTGCCCGCGAAATGGTAAGGATCCTGTCGTGCAACGCCTCTTGCCGATTCCCCCGCAAGCCTGACTGTTCGGCCCCCGCAGGTTCACCACTCAGGACTCCCTCTATGACCTTGCATGGTCGGAGATAAACGAAAACCAGGTTCTGGCTGGCTCCGGTGATGGTAGCATCAAGCTGTTCGACAGCAATCTCAACGACTTCCCCGTGCAGAACTGGAAAGAGCACAACCGCGAAGTCTTCAGCGTGAATTGGAACCTGGTCGCAAAGGACCGCTTTTGCTCCAGCAGCTGGGATGGCACTGTGCGCGTCTGGTCGCCTGAACGTCCTCACTCCCTCCTCACCCTTCCCACTCACAGCTGCACTTATTCTGCTGCCTTCTCTCCCCACTCGCCCGACATCCTCTCCTGCGTGACATCCGACTCATACGTCCGCCTTTTTGACCTCCGCACTCCGGCCTCGGCCTCGAACCACCTCGTCCTACAGATCCCCATCCACGCGGCGCCCGTTCCTACCATGCCTGGCACCCCAGGTGTCCCTCCCGCTGCCTCGCCTCCCGCCGAATGTTTGAGCCATGACTGGAACAAGTACCGCCCTTCGATTTTGGCTACTGCCGGCGTGGACCGAACCATCCGCACTTTCGACATTCGTGCTCCCCAGCAGGGCCCTCAGGCAGTCATGGTCGGACATGACTATGCTGTTCGCAAAATATCCTGGTCCCCCCACCTGTCGAACGTGCTGTTGAGTGGAGGATATGACATGACCTGTCGCGCTTGGAGCGACCAGTCCCCCTCGGGTATCGTCGGAGATACTGACGTGATGCGCGCCGGCCCCGGTCCCATGATGGGCGCGGAGTTGGGCCGTATGAACCAGCACACGGAGTTTGTGACCGGCGTTGACTGGTGTCTTTTTGGCAGTGAGGGATGGTGTGCCAGTGTGGGCTGGGATGAGAATCTGTTTGTCTGGGATGTGCGCGCGGCGATGGGCTAGAGAGGGACGGACCCAAACACAAACGAGTCCGCATTGCGACGACTAAGCGACCTCCTTGAATTTCTTTCTAATTCTGTGTCCTATTCCTTTCACGCTCCTGATTTGGGCAGGATGATGACTTGATGTCTTACTCTTTTTTTTTTTTTTTTTTTTTTTTGATTCCCTTCATTACCCTTCTTCTTTTCCTGTATTGGATACTAGATTGCATGATACCAATTTCCGTGTCTCTCGGGAGGGCGCCAGTGCTTAGGACAAATGTGAATACACTTGGAATTGTCTATATTAATTTTTGTTCTTTTTTCGTTTATGAAGCTGTTTATGAATGAACAGTCGTAGCCCTCTTCTTGCTCAGAAAGGATTCAATCTGTCCCAAGCCTCACACAAGACGGTAGTTATCGTGTCCGCCTCAGTCTATAATATACTCCGTCAAGCTGGTCATATGCCATAGTATCATCAATCCCGTGAAATACACATCACATCACATCACATCCATAATGGAAACAGTCCAAGGGCCAAAAAAGAACGGCAGGCAACACATAGGGTATATTAACAGACTGATTTGCCTGCCCTGGCTCTCGACACAACACCACCAATCAATCAAGTAAATGATTAACTTACTTCCCCAGTCTCGCCTCCACCTTCTTTCTCTCCGCGTCCCTCACATTCGCCACCTCGTCCCTCGACGCATCAAACGCCACATAAGTCTGGTTAAACGGATTCTCATCACTCTTCTCAAACTCTTTCTTCACCAACTCAATCCGCTGCTGTCTCCTCAGACCAGGATGCTCCTCCTCGATCTCCGGCATACGTCGCGCCTCATACGCCGTATACGCCGCCTTAAACCGTCTCTCGGGGTGTCTGTCGATCTTCGAGGTATCCTTATTCGTCAAGCTCAGGGCGTCCAGCGCATTATCGATACCCGAAGCGTTAAGCGCAGAGGCCTTCTTGGCTCCGGGGCCGCTGTCGTCCAGCTGGGATAGGTCCAGGCCGCGCGTCTTCTTGGTTGCTTGTTTCGCGTTCGCGCCTTTGGCTTTGCTCGGTTGGGAGGCTTCTTCTTCGGCGAGGAGGGCGTCACGCTCGGCTTTCTTGCGGGCGGCTTCGGCTTTTTTGGATTCCGCGTCGTCTCTGTTGGAGATAGAGAGATTGGTCAGGATTATGGTCTTGGAAGGTATGCATGGAGATAGCGATGGGGATTTGTGTATGTGTCATATATATGTGTAGGTACGTGGGTGGATGGGTGTGCAAAGACGTACTTCTTAGCGTTGCTCTTCGAGCCCTTCGACCACTGCTTGTCTTCCTCGGCGGCGCGTTTAGCGTCCTCTTGGGCCTTCTTGCCCGCGGCAGCTTCGGCCTTCTATAAATTCCAAATACCACGGTTAGCCAATTACTTCATAGTTCGTTGACAGCCAGCCAGTCTTGTAAGATCGATCGAAAATATGCATTCGAAAGCGGGGGCGGGGTAATCTGATAGTCTCTCCCCCCCTCTTCCGCTTGCATAAGAAATAATAGGTAAAATATACCTACACGGGCGTTACCAGCGGCCTTCTTGGAGTTCTCGCCTGCTCCTTTCTTGCCTGCCATTTTTGTCCGGGGAGGGAGGGTGTGCTTGTCTGGTGTTCTTGGTGGGAGTGGAAGATCGGGATCGGGTAGGAAACAGAGCGGCAGGAGGCAGAAAGATGAAGTGCGGCGGAGTTTCGAATCTCCGGGCGGCGTGACTTTCCTGGTGACTCAGGGCTTACTTAAGAGGATGACGTCATAGCTAACTAGTAGAAAAGGTGAGATTATTCTGGATTACTCCGGAGTATGGTTTGGGGTGCTTTTGGATCTGTGGGGTTATATATTTATTTCAAATTGATGGTTTATGAGCATACCTTGGTGCTATTAACATTTCTAAAGGATGCAGTCAATATGATCCTAGTTCCCACCGTGCGCATCAATTTTTACGGCCAAGAGGAGTAGAGAAATTGCGGTTTACCACGGTAGACTGACAGGGACCGCGAGTGACCGTGGTACGACTCTGGGCTGTAGTTGCTCATAACATGGAGACAACAAATCCGTTAGAGCTGTGAATGTTGCATAGTCATGCCGTCAATAGTGAATAAAAGTATGCTCGCCGCCAACATAACTAGTTTTACATATCCTCTCAATTTATTTGATAGTATTGCCCCGCCATAAAGTACATACATCCACCACGCATGTGGCATTCTACCTAAAGATCTCTACTCATTCCTCCCGTCTCTGGCTCAACCAAATCAACCGAGAACAAACATGTCTTTCCCCCCCGATGTCAAACGCGATGGGTTCATCTCCGCGTGCGGTCGGTTCTACACCGAGCGCGGTCGCATCGAGCGCGTGAATGGCGACTCTCTGCGCGGCATGTTCCTACCTAAACTCAGCTCAAGTGCCCAGCGATCCCTCCGAGACCACTCCGACTTTGTCCGCGGACAGTTACAGCACTATGGCGTGGCTTTTGACGAGCGCCAGTTCTCCGGCAACGGAACACTGCTGATGAAGAAAGTCCTTCAGGACGGGAGATGTGATACAGTGCCGCCGCATATCCTGGACTTGGAAAAGCAGATGTACCGTGAATGGCTTGATGATTTTACACCGGAGGGGCTGTCCGGTCACCCTGAATGGGTCATAGATAAATACTTCGGAAGTGAAGCCCAGCCTGACCGCACGATTACGACTTCTGTGGTCGGGATTCCGTTCCCCTGGTCCAGCAGCTACCGCGTGAGCCAAATGCAGGAGGCTGCAGATAGAGTGACAGGGCTACATCATGAGACAGGGAAGGGGTCTGGTACAAAGACGGTCTACATGGGCTGGAATGAGGCTGCAGTGCAGAAAGCAGCCAAGGGCCATGCAGCGAAGGAGAAAGCCGAAATTGAGGCTGCAGACCGGGAACGAGAGAAGGAGCGGGCAAAGCTACATGCAGACTATTGCCGTCAGGCGCGGAAGGGGACATCGCCCGTCGGGAGCTACATTGTTGATTGCGAAATGATCGAAGGGGGATGGCCTGATGTGACGGAGGATCTAGGCCTAAATATCCATGCAACTGGTGAGCCTGGCATTTTTAAAGCGGAGTTTGACTTTGGGGTTTTGGAGGGCGTGATGATCATCGGTGTCGATAAGGCCGGACTGGAACGGTACTGTGCTCAGGAGGATGAATCTAGCGAATATGAAGACGGCTGGGACGAAGAAAGCTCCGAGGACGATGTAGGGCAGGGCGAAAGATCCAAGGCAGGGTCTAAGAGAAAGACAACAGCTCCTAAACGTGGCGCCGGGTCAAAGAAATCAAAGAACACCCCGGCCCGGAAATACTTCCTCAAGATGAGGGGTCGCGAGACTGGTGAGGGCGAGATCATGGACATTTCAGATAAGGGTACTGTCACATTCAAGGATGGGAAGTTCACCAGCTTTGTGGGCGAGGCTGACATGTCTATTGTCGGTCAAGGGGTGACCTTTACTGCACGGAAGGTTTCTGATACACCAGGCTCGGATGGGAGGGAATGGGCTGACTACTCGGACAGACAGTATGAGAGGGAAAGAGTCGGCAGGTGGCACTGAAGCTAGGAAATTCTGTTCATTAATTTCCAGTTCTTGCTGGGTTCTTTTCTCTGCCTACAGACACTCGGCAGCCATGGAGTAACAAATCTGATATTCAAAAAAGAAACACAACAAAGCTACATACTAAGTAAATTACACCACAATCTCATAATATATAAAGGCGGACAGTCGGCCAAGTCAAAAACATCAACATATCAAATCAGGCTAATCATATCATATCAGTCATCAATCGGATTCCTCAAATCAAGTTTTTTTTTTTAAAAAAAAAAAAAAAAAACCAATTCATGTCGTAGCAATCAGTGCCTGTTGTTCCTTCATAGCTGTCTGGGTTTTAATCAGCGGTTTCTCGTTTTCGTGGACCTCGCTGGGGTCATCTTCGTGGATCTTTTTTTGAACCTCAATAAGAGATTCTCGGGGTGTGTCGTTAAGTGTCGTGTCGAGGATTTCGAGGCTAGGCTTGACTGGCTCATCTAATTTGAAGTCGATTTGTTTTTCTGCGGGGGCGACGATGGGAATTGGCGCTTTTTTGTCCGTGTCTGCGTCTTTGGGATTCTCGTTTTCGATGTCGAAATTGATCTTATCGTCTTTTGGGGGTAATGGTTGTAATGCTTGGGAATCGATCACGGCGGAGCTCGTCTTTTCGATATCTGGGCTCTGTTTGATCTCCTCGCTTTCTTCGACCTCGACCTCCGCGGACTCCTCTGCCTGAGCAACGGCCACTGACGTCGCGGAGCTGGCGAGATTGGCAGATGATGACTCATGAGAGACCGAAGGACCCGCGACAATTGAACTCGTGGAGACAATTGACATCTGGATATCCGATTTGACCGCAGTTGCCCAGACTGCAGAGCTAGAGGAGCTCTGCGCCGGAGAAATATGCATGGACGGCACCGAAGTGGAGCTGATCATGTCTTCTTGCGGAAACGGACGCAGGTCGGATGCAGTTGCTCTTGGTCGGTAGTCGATCGCAAAGAAGACTACAAGAATACTAAGAAACACGATGGCCACGTTGCGTCGGTCGTTGGCCAGCACCCGAATATAATTCACCAGCAGAGTGTGGAGGTCAATCTCTACTTCTGGTTTCGGCGGATAAATGGGACTGTGAGTTGGTGTTGGACGATGCTGCTGTCTGGGTGCCGGGGTCGGACTCGGTGGAGGAATGGGGGACGAGGCTCGTTCGGGCGTGAAAAGCACTGGCATGACGGTGGATAGGGAAGGGGATGGTTGAGGCAGCGAAGGCTGGCTCTCCGGCACGTGCATAGGCTCAACGAGCTGCGGAACTTCAATTCGAGTGAGCGCGGTGGACATCTCGCTGTCACGCAACCGTTTCTCTAACTCCCTCCTCAATACCGAGGGAAGCCAGAGACCGACTTCGATATCCACCTTCTCCATCTCCTTCCAGGCTGCCGCCCACGCGCCAGCCCTCATGAGTCCGTTGGCAGCGAAGACCTTGATCTCCCATTTCCTGCTGTGATTGTTCTTGAGGAAACGTCCGCCACAGTCCGGGCAGTCTTCGCCCTGCTCGCCATCTGTTTCGCTCTCCTTGCTCGCCTGGTCTTCCTTCTCCGAGTCATCCTCCTCGTGCCCTACGAAATGTCCGTGGTCGAGTCGCGGATGCTGCAGCTCCAGACTCTCCAGCAGACGATCTTCGAGCAAGTCGTACATATCCTCGGGATGCGAGATCAGTACGCCACGGTCACGGAGGACACCCGACCCAACCTTCTCTTCCAACAATTTCCACCGTCTCCAATACTCCGACGGCAGAACCTCCTTCAGAACCTTCGGATCCGGGGGTCCCAGCAGCCCTGGGATCGGAAGTGACGGAGGAAGAAGCGTACAGTGCAGCAGCACGAGTGGATACTCCTTCTTCACCTTCTGCTTGTTCGCCGACCCGGATGGCGAGTAGTAAGGCGACCTCTTCAACGGCGACGAGTGGGAAGACCGCATCGAGATATCTGACAAACGATGTCCCCTGCGCCTCGGAGGTGTGAGATACTCCTCGTCGCCCTCATCTTCCGTATGCATCTGCAATGCCCTCACCGAACTCGGTTTCCGGAACGCCGACTCCCGCTGCCGAAGTGCCTGAAGGGACTTCAACCCGGGTTCTGCCCTCGTCTGACCCTTGTTATACTGATCATCCCAGAATATCGCAGACTCCTGCGCATCGCGCGCATTCGTCTTCGCCCCTTCCATCGAATGGGTGAACACCGATCCCGGCAAAGAGGAGACGGAAGAGCGGCTAGATGCGCGGGATTTCAGGTTGGGGAGCTCGTCATCATCGTAATCGGCGTCGAGAATGTCCCCCGACGATGAATGTGTCGAGGAAGCCGACGAATTGTACCCGCAATCCTGGGTCAATTCTGTCTCTGCGTCTGCGCCTTCGTCGGGATGCGAGAAATCAAGGGTTTCGTCGTCAAGTGAATATGAGCGTGAGGTTTCGTCGGGGAAGTCGGCGTGGTGAGAAAGGTCCTCCATTTAATGTGGCTCCAGGTCTAGAGTTCAGCCGATCGTAAAATAAAAAAAGGATAAACAGGGTAGCTCCGAGATGAGCCGGAGAATGTTTCCCAGCTGTTGGGCGATGAACGGGTACTGAGGAATGTGGGAAAGAGAGATCTGAAATGATCATCGAAGGGAGGGTCAGAAAGGGCCGTACTCGGGTATTTAGAGCATTTTTCCTGGGAACTCAACAATGAATCTCACTTGAAATGGATCCTAATAATAGGTAATGGCGATGGTGACAGTCGGTGTTGATCTGTTGTTGGTGCGGCTTCACCGCCCGGTTGTGCCGGGCAACCACTTCCTTGTATGAGTTGTATAGTCGATCGCCCAGCATGTCAACCACTCACAATCAGAAAGAGTCCAGCCCCATTTAACTAGAATTCCGCAGCAAGCTCAATATCCGATATTCTCCCTTTGATCCAACAACGAACCATTTGTGGAACACCCAACTTTCGCAAAATCGAGAGAACCAACAATCAAAACCCAACGCTATCCGCAACAGCCCCATCCCAATCAATCAAGAGCTCCAAATGAGGATGTTCCGGGAACTCACCCTCCCATCCGAACAAGGATGAATCTAGTGGTAGACGTAGACTTGGTGTGGATATGAAGCCAGTCAAATTACCCGGCGCGTCGAGGATGCGATCCAGAACTCGGCCTACAATACGTGCTATAAAGACATTAAAGTCTCGGGCCGAGGCCATCGGTCGGACCCAGTCGAGAAATCCAACCAGGAGACCAAGGCTTTGTATGATCTCTAATCGTGGAAGATGGAGTGGATACGACTCGGGATTACTCGCTTGGCGGAGTAGTTCGAGACAGAGTACTCCGCTTGCCGGAACAGCGTAGGACATGACCTGTGGAAGGTGATTAGACTGACGGAGTATGAGAGATAGAGGAACTTTTTGATACTCACCAGCCATTCAAAGTCGCTGTGCAGTCCTAGGAAATGATCTCTGCGTTTCCAGAATATTAGAGTTAGGCTGATCAATTCACGACTGGTATCAACGAGGCCCAAATCCCCTTGGTTAACGAGACCCCGCTGGGTTAGGAGTCTCTCGATGAGAAAGACATTGAGAAGAAACTCTAGCCTGGTAAGTATGCGGGCAAATAGATCGTCTCCTGGAGTATTCAACTGATCGATCTCATCATTCGAGTAAACAATGCATGTCGGTAATTACGCATATGTGTCAGACGATATCGTCCTCAGCATCGTGCATCTAGTTAGTTGAGAATATTCAGGCACTAAAGCATCTTGGGAGAATCACGAGGCTCGTTCGGCCACAAAATCAGGCACAGAACTCCGTCCTATCTCGACTAGCTTCAAAACCTCATCACGGATTATAGCAAACATTGTTCGGGCTCGCAGGATTATCACCGAGTTTATGCGACAATCTTGACTCCAGCCATTCCTATCTAGGCTATCGTCTGCTTCCTTGCGATGGCCTGACATGAGGGCTTCATCACTGATATCCAGCGGCAAGCGTGTGGTCGAGTACAGGCGGCTTAGCAGCGGTGGCCTACCGGTAAAAGTAGCTAGAACTTTGTCGATACTGAAAACTGCCGCATAGACTCGTCTTCTAGCCTCATCATAAATTGTCACCTTATCGTTCTCGCCGGGGGGTTCTCTATGCATGAATAATAGATTCCAGAATATTATGCTTATAAAGCAGATATACCAAGAGGGAATTCACGGACGAGAGGCTTTTTCACAGATCGATGCAAATTGAGGCGCAGTTCTTCATTTTCAGCATCAGCTGTTTCGGACTCCGAATGGATGCGTTCTCTCTGTTGTATCGCATTATAGCTTCGCTATCAGGAGAAGAAGAAATTGCACCGAAAGCCCAATATGTAAATAGGATGCCTGGAGCTTGCCAACGAATATTCTTGCCGCTGAACGATTGGATCCAAGATTGTGGGCCCTCCTCCGGAGCAAGAAGTTGCGTGCTGTTTCTTGATATTGAACGCGCGATGTCAAGTAGGCCAGTCCGAGGCTGCTGGCCTAGCACCTGGCCGTACGTATGTCACATACTGTCGAAAAGAGTTCGTCCGGCAAGCCTGATCCAGCCATCATTGGGGTTGACGTGCTTGGATAAAAGCGCATTGCAACTCACCTCATCTAGGATGTTACGTAGAACTTGAGCTCCTAAATTGAGAATGTGTGAAGATGAAAGCCCAGCAGGACTGGGAGGCGAGGCCTTTCCATCTTCATGTCTGTTTTTCTCAATTGAATTCGATGACCGCAGAGCAAGATCAACCTCAAAATGCTCACTATGCTCCATAAATACGGACGTAAAGCTCGTAGGGCCCAGGTATTTCGCAGAATCTCCAAGTATTGGTGTAGACTTTGAAGGCGTCAGAGAACCGTTGCCAGACATTTCATGGCTGTTGGGAAGCGGCAAAGCCAAGGTGTTTGAAGTCTCTGTCAACTGTGCTTGTGCCCTGAGGTCGTGCGGCTGCTGGAAATCTTCTCTGGCTCGTGCAGAAGGATTTTCAAGATAGACACAGATGACTGATTGTTTCTGACAGCGCGCGCAAGAGGGATATCCATGATCGCATGCTAGTTTCCGCCGCCGACATGTTTCGCAGGCTGGTTTTCGACCATTCCTGTGCCGGGTAGGCGACATCTTTTGGTCCGAGTTCGAAAGATACAATAGACCGGATGACGTATACGGTAGAATAGTACGAGACAAAAAAAAAAAGCCGAAGAACTGGAAGTATCAAGATGAGTCAAATGATGGTTAAGCATATCATTAGTACTTCATTGTATGAGAGCACTATCAACCAACGGATAGCATTTCCTATCTGAGGTAGCGTATCCAAGTAGATTCAATCAGTACATCTCTGGGATGATGATCAATGAGGCTCGGGAGGAGTAGCATAATCGACGATTTATAGACGAAGAGAAGAAGAGAAGAAGAGAAGAAGAAGAGAAAGGAAGGTGGAAGTTCCAAGAAGGAAGCTCGGCGCTCGGCTTCGGCTTCGGCGTCGGAGTAAACCATGGATCTAAGTGAGTTTACCCTGGTCCTTCACAATAATCACTTTCTCCACACAGTCTAGTTCAGCTAAGATTAAGATTGAGATCTTATCAATCTCTAAGTTTTGTATCATATTTTACGATGTGTTCTTAAATCCCCAGTTGCTTCAGCCGTGGGAGCTTATATTGGACAGTCTGCTGTATAGTCTCGCTTACCTCTGCACCTCTGTCATGCTTTAGCCATAAATTTAACCCCAACCTTGGAGACATGCGAGAGGAGAAGCAAAACTGCAGTGGCATAAGTAGCAACCCTCGCATACAACTGCACACCCAGATAAGAATCCGAAGCATTAAGAATCGCCCCTGCAACAGGCGCGCCACACAGAGACCCAAATCCACACAACACAGAGCACATCCCCATTCGCGTCCCCAGCGTTCGCAGATCCTCCGTAAGACCAGTTAAAGCCACAGCAGGAAGAGAGACAAAAGCCCCCGAGATGAACCCATAAAGAACGGCCAGCGCAACCAAGCCACTGGAGCTCTGGATCCCAATCCAACACATGATAAGTGTTCCGCTGATAGCGGCACTTGTTAGCAAGATGTTCAGGGGTCCGATGCGTGGTCCTAGGAGGCCAGGTACGATGCGGCCTGGAATTGAAGCTGCGTTGAGTATGGCCACGAGGTAGAAGGCTAGATCTTCTCCCATTGTCTCCGTGCCGACTGCGTAGGATTGGATGTAGAAAATGGGACAGAAGATGCCGATGTATCCTAAGAGCATGGCTATGCAAAAAAGTGCATATGGGGGCTCCTTGAATGCAGAGAGCTCGAGTGAAACACGTTTTGTTGGGGGCATCCGACGGGCACGCATGACACCGATTGAAAGCAATGAGGTTGCAAGGACGATGAAACCAAGCACTCGTGTAGCCCATGCAAAGCCAATTCGCGGTTGGAGCTGCCTGAAGAGGATCGGGTATAACACGCCACCAAAGCTACTCCCGGATGCAGCAATCCCCGTTGCGATAGCTTTGCGTGACGAGAAATATTGCGGCAGGATAGCCACGAAGGGGATATAGAGACACTCATTGCCAAGACCAATGCAGAGGGCCTGAGCAAGGATAATTTGCCAATATTTCGTGCATAGGCTTAAAGTCATGAAGCCAACGACAACAAGGCCAGAGCCTGTTATAATTAACGCACGGAAATAGCTAGCATCATAGAGTGGGCCGGTGACTACCCCAACCAACAACAATAGAAAGGCTTGTATGGCTCCGATCCATAAGATATTCGAAGACGACTGGACAGAAAGAAGGTTGATTTCGTAGTAGGTCTGAAAGACCCCGAATGTATTCACAACACCCCTAGGTGATAATCAATACTTCGTTCGTTTGGGAGATAGATGACGCTTACCAGGAGTTGAAGAAGAGGAAGAAAGATCCCATAACTTGTGTCCAAGCCCGAAAGCCTCTGTTCGGCGGCGCATCATACACTGTTATTTCGATATCCTGAGGTGTATGTTGATTAGGCTCGGGGGTGCTCTTGTTCACCACCAAATTCGATTCAATTGACGATGCCATAACTCTGGTGTTTCTGCTCCGACGTTACAGGTTAACATATGCGGGGGGCTCATTGAACGCGGACAGACTACTTTGTTTCTCGACAGGTAGATATTTATACACATAGAAATGCCTGACAGAATCAAGGCGGTTATCTCGATCAGGCTCGGCTTCGGCTTCGGATTCAACTGCGCTTAGCATGTAATATAGCAAGCCGTCAGAAGACAGGAATACGATGAGCATAGTAAGAAAGCGGAAGGCTAATACATTCTCCCGATGCTAATCTACTCCGAAAGCGAAGCAGACAGAACCGAGCACCGAAAAAAGGGAAGGACGTCATCAAACAGAACTGTGAGGCCGTGGACAAATACTATCATACATAACAACTATTCGCAAGAAGCTTGCCAATCGTGCAAATCATCGTGAGATCGTCAGATGCGTCGGGAAAAGTCGTAAATAGGAGGAAAATGAAGCAATGTCATGATAAGTGGTGCGACGCTTCTGCACACGAGAAGCAAATTCTCCAAACATAGATATAATTAATAGCAATGGACAAAAGACGGAAAACAAAAGGCTCTAGTTTTCGTAACAGTAGAGACCGAAACGCCGAGGATACCTTGCTCCCAATCATGAAAAAGCACAGCACATCGTTGAACATGGGCACGTAGACTCCGGAACTATGTACGACAAAATGACGAGCGTTAATGAGGTGGCCGTGGGGTACCATCGTCAGGGCTCATCAGAGTAGGGTAATTTTGATGCTCCCCAATATAATTCAGGACGTCCTGGGGGAGATATTCTAGCCAGGGAAGAATCTCCCCATGGAAGGCAAACGGTAATTGATCCTGGTGCTGAAGAGTAGCCATGTCGATGTCCTGACTCCCAATCATAACATCGCCGTGGGGTGCGATGGCTGGATGGAATTCAGGCCTAGTGGCCATATGTTCGCCACCGACTTGTTGCTCATTGTGAGCAGATGTGATATTGTAATTAAAAGACGCCGACTGGGGATCAAGTCTAGTCGAAGGCATGTGGGGGGGAAATGTGGGTTGAGAAGGTGAAGGGCGAGATGTGGAAAACGAAGTGTTGAGGCCCAAAAGAAGGTTCGCATCGGAGGTAGAGACTCGCCCAGAAGGCAACGGAGAAAATTTCGCTGACGCCGCTGTCATTGTGGGATTAGGTGTTACAGATGTCGTTCGAGCCTGCTCGAGCGATTGCGAGAATGAACCTGAACCCGAGTTGGAGCTAGGTTGAATAGGTAGAGGAGGATAGCTGTGGCTGTATTGCGACGAGTACGTGGGTTTGGGTACCGAATCTACTGGTGCCGCAGGCATTTGGTATAGCAAGCTCAGATTAGGCTGCGATGAGTTGGTAGCTCCTGTGAGCGCCCAACCAATTGCTTAAGGCACAATGCGGGTCAGCACATCTGTTGGAATGCTTTCGAGGAAAGAGAGAAAATCTCGATCATCTTACCTTGACTGGGGTCTATCTTTGGAGACCGTCTTCCATCAAGCGATGGATCGACAGCCGTGCCTGACCCTTCGGGGTCGATCGCTCCACCCCGGCGCCAATTGGATGCAGCAAAAGCTTGAACTGCCGGGATATCGGCCGCACTTTCCATCTCTTCGACTGTATATAAGAGCGGATCCACAATACCCTTGGCTTTCTGATCTAAAACCGTGAGTATATATTTCGTCCCCTCCCAGTAAGTCTCAAGTGCCTTTAATGCTTTGTAACATCGTTGGTAGTTCTCTTTGGCAGCCGAGGCCAGAAGGATGTGTTTAGCAGTGGGCTTTCGGTCTGAACCACCTGAAGGATCCATGTTTGGCAAAACGAAACCACTAGTTTGGTTGGCCAAAAGGGGCTGGCTCGGGGGCGAACCCGACCCTGAGGTGGGCGATGTGTAGTGGGCACTCTCCATGAGGAAAGCGCACGCAGCAATGTACATTGGCTGGCTCGTAAAAGGGTTACCGATAAAGCTTTTCCCATCAACTAGCTCGGAGAATGAGAGAATATCGGCAATAGTTTTGGCGGACGACATGGACAGCTCTCGGCTGTTTGGATAGAGGTGCTGAATTGTCCCGCCGAAGGAATTGAGGAGAGTGGGCTGGTGAAGGAGGACTATCAAAGTATGGAACCACTGGAAGAAAGGTAAGCACCACATTCAAGTCCAAGGAATTGGAGAACACTTACAAAGTGAAGGAGAATAAAATTGGTGCCCTCTTTCGCCTTTACATAAGCTTGAAAGTTTGCGGCATTGAAATGAAGTCGGGGTGATAACCGTTGATAGATGCCTAAAAGATCACATGAGTAAATGGATTTCCAGATGGAAACTGGGAGATTAATACCTGTCAGGTCACTTTCCATTCCAGCCAGTCTCTTGAGTGTGTCTGTCGTAACGTGATTAACGTCTTGAATTCCATTTATCAGATCCGTCACCCTCCCGTAGAGATGAATGACGCGAATAAGCGGCGGGAATGGCGCGGGCCAGCCGTTTGGGAGTAGTGATTCTGACTGGAGAGGAAAGCAAAGCTCTATATCTTCGTCACGCAGGGTCACTGGCCTTCCTGTCCCGGATGATATTACACGATCGAGGAAGAAAATGCTCCAAAAGGTATCCACCCTTTCCTTTTCCCAGGCCCGTTGATTGTCAACCCCCGGCGTTTCTTTTGCCGGACTTTGCGAGACTTGGGGGTCGTCGTACTGCTCTTCCCTTAACTTCCCTGCCTGTCCAGTCATCACTGCATTTGGCGTAACACCGCTTTGTCCGTAGTTGTATTTCAATCCTTGAGCTTTCTGCAGTCCCAGATCTTGAGCCATTCGAATGGAAATCCCCAGGTACATCCACAAACCACTATCGTGGTTGGAGCCGAATTCCTCATATGCCAGCAATAGGCAAGCTTGAACAACAGATAAAGTGGGACACGATAGCGAGTCGACGAGGGCGCTCATTGCGCGGCGGGCAAACGAATGGCCGCGATCAGACTTTCTTGTATCAGGCGGAGGAGCCGAGCCGTCAATCGAGGGTGCCTGAGGCGGGCTCAGTAGAGGATGCGGGGAAAACCGTGCCGACAGAGCGCAGACTGCGTCCACGAGCATTGTGTCGATCTTTTTATCTTTCAAGTCACGAAGGAATCTATCTCGTTGTAGAAAGGGAAAGTTACATCCCAAATGCATGAAGAATAGGTCGCATAGGTGCGTCACCAGGTTGCTGACGGGTAACGAATCGTCTCGGTCATAAAAGGGAATGGTATTGGCATCACGAGTCTCGCGGCTGTCGCTAATGGAGTTGAATTGGTTCAGTCCCTCGTCGGCGAGCTTGGGGCTTCTAAGAGGGGACAGTGACTCTACATGCATCCCACAAAGCACTAGTTAGACGAATGACATCATATATACCAGCACAGTGCCGCAATAGCGGGTCGGTGAGACAACTCGGAGTACTGGGAAACTAGGTGGTTTTGGGAGGTGCATACCAGATGATAAGGATGGATTACTCTTGCGTGATCCGCGGACTTGGACAACCTGCAAGCGTTGTTGGTATCACATAGGCGGGGACTAGTAGCTGGCCAGGATAGGAAAGCCTACCATTTGTTTGAAGCCCGGGACTATGGCCGTTGGGCCAAAATATCTGAAATAAGGAACATGGGTGCGGGAACCTGAGCTTAACGATGTACGACCTGTTGAGTCCGCGGTCAGCATGGACAACGACCCCGGAGCAGCTAGACCAGAAGAGCTATGCGCAACGTACTACTTTCTGGGCTTTCACCAGCGGTTTGCTGTTCGGATTCTTTTGTAGTCCGCGACGAGACATCCTTTGTGACCGAGTCATCCTTCGAGTCCGCTATTCGTGAGCCGTCGGCGGGCTTCTCGGCTCCATCACCCCGAGGTAGCGTAGCTCGTTGCGGCGAATCCGGAGAGCGGCTCTCAACTTTGACGGGGCCGCGCGAGTTGACCGCTTCGTTGGGACCGGGGGCAGGGGGGAGGGTTGGAGTGCGTGAGGCGGCATCGGATTGCGATCGAGCGTGGGTCGGAGGATCGTTGTAGCCCAAGCAAACATGGTTGTAATCGGAGCAGGTCTTGCATACTATGTCGTTCGGAGGGATCGGTCAGTCAAGCTCGGCATCTCATCGCTATCGCCAGCAGTATCCGCAGCGTCTCACCTGGTTGTTCACCCGAGCACCGTATCTTCCGCTTGCGACACGTCCGACAGCTGTCGGCATATCAATGTCAGCTTGGAGAAGGGGATGATGATATCATTCGAGGTGCACTTACGCCGCATTTACTCGTCGCCTTTTCGTCTGCGGCTGGCCGTCGGTCGAGACGAAGCGAATCTGCCTCGGAGGGGGAACATTATTGCCGCCGTTCTTCTGGGGAGAAGGGAGGCTCATTGCGAGCAAGTAGTCATCCGTGGTCACAACACATTGGGCGACTCGTTTGATCCGCAGACTAGAGCGATCGAGGGTTCGCGGGAAGGACAGCGAAGGCGGTGGTCGAGGAGGGAGTGGAAGGACGGACGGAGCAGTGATCGAAAAGGTCTTTGGATAGAAGCACTAAGCAGAGATAAAAATCCATGAACGAGTCCCTCGTCGTGGCCGGTGAGACGATCGTCGGTTTGACCAAGGGAGGAAGGAAAGAGTGGCAGATGAGGGGAAGGACGTAATCTTTTTTTTTAATTAAAAGGAATAATATTTGATGACTTAATAAGAATGACAATAAAAAATAATAACAATCCCCCCTAAGGATAATAGCGAAAGGAATCTAAGGCAGGGAAAGGAAAAGAAAAAAAAAAAAGAAATGGGATTAGTTTAGCTCGAGGTCGACGGGGGGGAGACAGTCAGCGATTGGGGACTCACGATGGTCAGGCAGAGCTCAACGAATGGCACCAACTGCCCGCAAAGCCACCAACAGGGCCCAAGTCCTGCTTGAGCCTGACCGCCCGGACTGTCCTTCTGTTCGTGCTTTCTTTTTATTTTAGCCATTTTATTTTAGTTTTAAATCCTCTGACACGATTGTGCTTGTCGACCGAGTACAAAGGAACACCCTCGATGCTAGATGTGGCAACAGTTCCGACGAGGAACCCCCCAAACCCCCCAAGCCCATTGGATTCAAACACGAACAAATTAAAGATCAGGACAATTAAAAATGATGTTTACCCAATAAAATAATTACCGCCAATCAACGGCGGCCCCCAAGGCGCTGGGTCAGTGAAAGCTCATGTGATGCCCTTCGCTAGTCTGCGACTCGGTGCTTTCTGGAAGGACAAGACTTCCTTCTGCCACATCCTTTCAAATTGTCAAGAGATGACTTCACGAGGCGATCCTCTTTAGTGTTTCCCTGCTGGATGGTCACTGGTGAGAATTAGGTCCCTGCAGCTGCTCGATCTCTTGGTCAGCATCTCGTCCGCCGACAAGTCAGGAATCAGGATGTGCGGAGTCTGGACTCCGGGGAAAGAGGGCGCGAGAGAGGGAAAAAGTGGCACCTTTCTCCGTCCGGAGGCCCGGATACTCTTGGGACGAATCCACCGGTCTGATCCACCGTTGCTCCACGCCGCGTCGTGTCAACCGTCAACCGATGGTCGGCCTTCACTCCGGCCGTGCTGTGAGTTTGCGCCCGGAGACGAAGCGACATCCCTGCGCTTGGAAAGCTAAGGAAATTAGTCCAAGTTTGACAACCCTGGGACACGGTCTGTCAATTCTATTTCTTTTTAGTCTTACTAACTACTACGGAGTAGTTACACAATTCTCATGGGCTGGTTATGTTTAGGTGCCCGTACTCGGTACACCGATTGTTAAGTACTCTAAAGAATTGATTGCAAATATTTACAGGTCTCTCGGGTCTACACCGTACGTCTAAAATTGCGGTCTCGGAATCTCCAGCGCGTCGGTGGTTCGCCCATACTGGATCCCACCCAATCGACTGATCGGCTTCAGCACCTTGAGATCAACGACGCTCTTATCCTCATCAATGGCATCATCCCGTGCCCAGAACCTCACTCCCTCAATGATAGCCAACACTCCCGTTTTCTTTCCCTGTCGATTCTCAAACTCCTTCGTTTCGACGAGCTTTCCTTCGATCGCCAGAACCGACTCCTTGACGCGGGCAGCCTGAACGACCGAGCTCGGCGCTTGGTGTAACCCCGACACTTCCCATTCGGAGACCCCATATGGCGCATTGACAGCGGTCGCGTTAGCAGCCTCGACAAAGTGCTCCGAGATAATGTTGATCACGCACTCTTCGGTCTCGGCGAGGTTCTTCAGAGTGTCCTTGGCCCGGTCGAGGGAGCCGACGAAGCCCACAGCGAAGAGAGGAGGATCGTGGTTGATAACTTGCGAATAACTAAACGGCGCCAGGTTGGTCGACGTGCCGTCTTTGGATCGGGTACTGATTAACGCAATCGGTCTCGGGACCATGCCGGAGATCAGGAACTTGTAGTTGGACGTCGCCGGCCGTCCTTCTTCGTAAGGGTCGATTTCGATGTGGTTCTTCTTCAAACTCTCGCCTCCATCGTTTCCGCCGTCGCCTTGTTTCCAGCTGGGATTGGGAGGCTTCGAGTACGTGACCTCTTGGTCGCGGTTGAAGTCGGGCCGGGAGGCCTGGACTTTGTCGAAGTCGGAGTCCACCTTGAACATCGTTTTGGTTTGGCTGATTGAGCGCGCAGATTGAGTTCTGGTGATGAGATTCGGAGGGTGAAATTGAATGCGTCTCGCCTGTCTCAGTAATGCACGATGCATGAAGAGTGAAGACGAAACAATTCCTCTGGTTCTTATCACATAGAAGTTATAACAGTGGGCAGCGAGGGGCGACGATGACGGGATTCCCCCATCGAACCCGGCAGTCACGCCGTTTTTGAGTAACTCCACGTCAGGTGTGGCACACGTTGCTCTTATTTCCACGCTTCTCCCTGGGTTGCTTGCTTAAAGAGTGTGTGGCAATACTGCTCACACTGCCGACCTCCGAGCCGATGAGCATTTGTCAGCCCGACACAACCCCGCAGCCTGAGGCTCTCCAAAAATTGGAGTTCAAGCAAGGCATCCCGCGACATCGTTCCAAGATACTGGGAATCGGCTACCGATGCCCAAGGGATCGAAGAGTCTGGCGGTCACCGACAAGATCGGTATGCTGGCGCATGGCGGAGAAAAGCGGTGCGTGCACTATGACGCCACGGCTCTGGGCTTTCAAATGGCAGCAATGAAGCCCTTACTCTGGTCCTGTGGCAGCTCAATGCCAACGAACCAATGTGTATTGAGCAAGCTCTCACAGTAGAACTAATATGCATCATAGGCCATTCTCAATGCAAAGCCAATGAACAATTCCTGAAAAGTATCTCTTCGACGATCACACTGCCATAATAACTCCTCTTTTTGACTTGTTACTGCCATGCCGCTATCTTCGGAATTATGACCCTATCTACATCTAAATACTCGTAGTATACGTCGAGTACGATTTAGACAGGTCGCAGCATAAAATCAAGAAGCCATATTTGCGGCTGAAGCGGTGTGTCCGAAGCAACCAGTGCGTGCCCAGATCCAAGCCACAGATGGAATCTGACTCTTCCCAAGGGTGAGATTCACAGGGTGAGATGGTGCGAGGGTGACCAAAAAAGCAAACATGCACCGATAAACAAAAGCGCTAGTTGGTTAGCTACTTGCATTAGTGTAACTAAAATGTAAAAACAACTGCTACTGTGTGCTGTACATACACCGTACCCTTCGCCAATCAGTCCATTTTCCTCTCTACTTTCCCAGTCTTATTCTGATCTTAATTCTACATCTTCTTCCCTTCGTTTGAGAGCTCTTCACCCGTTCCGATCATGTCTACCAGTGAAGTTGCCCGCTGGGCGGGATTCCTCGACCAGAACAATGGCATCGAGTTCGTCTGGCTGCAGTATATAACTTACAGCGCTACGACCGTCGTGCAGATCATGCCGATCGATCGATTCACGCAGTTAATCAAAGATGGCCAGGGCCTTCCCATCACCAAGGCCATTTACCATTTACTACCCGGCGATGTCCTGGCCGACGGCGCCCTACCCAGCGGCGCTTGCTACCTCAAGCCCGACCTTTCGACGCTATACCGCCAGCGAGGTTCGAACTCCCACAGAGCGGTGGTGATGACATCCAGTCTGGACAGCGACGGCAAACCGCTCGCCGAATGCGCGCGGTCTCGGCTCGACCACCTGACCCATCTGTTGACACAGCAGTCGGGATACTTTCCTCTGGTGGGATTCGAGCTGGAGGTCGTCTTCCTACGACTTGTCCGACGAGACGGGAAAGTGGTGGGCTACGAATCGCCCAGCACGAACCACTCCATCTTCAGCATGACAAATGATGATAAGCAGACGCTGGACCTGATCGAAGAGATCGCGAGAGCGTTACTCGAGGCAGAGATCGCGCTGGAGAAATTCCACGCCGAGTCGGCGCCGGGGCAGTGGGAATTCGTTCTCCCGAAAGACACGCCCGTCAAGGCAGCTGATACTTTACTAAAAGCCCGCGCCATCATTATCGATGTCGCGGAGAAGTACGATATGCGAGCGACCATGCATCCGCGGCTGTTCCCGACCAGCGCGGGGAGTGGAATGCATACGCACATATCCGTCAATCCGATCGACGACAGTCAGGACCTAGTGGGCGCGGAACAGTTCTTCGCGGGCATCATCGAGCATTTCCCCGCCGTGCTGGCATTCAACCTGGCGCACGACGCTAGCTATGATCGAGTGCAGAGCGGTACCTGGAGTGGAGGGGAGTATGCGGCCTGGGGCTGGGAGAACAAGGAGATGCCACTGCGGCGGATCACGGTCAATCGATTCGAGGTGAAATTGCTAGATGGGCTGGCAAACCCATACCTTGCGCTCTGCGGTATGCTAGCCGCTGGGATCGATGGGTTCAGGAGGAAGCTGCCGCTGACGGGAGGCGACTGTCGCACAGCTTCTGGGTTGCTTTCCGCCGCAGACAGAGAGGCCCTGGGGATCAAGACGCCGCTACCCAAGTCACTGACGGAGAGTCTTGATGCGCTCGAAGCTGACGAGAAGATGCGGGAATTAGTCGGCCCGGTGATTGCCTCTACTTATCTTGGTGTCAAACGTGGAGAGGTTCGACATTTCAAGGGCCTAGGTGATGAGGAAACGAAGAACTCTCTCATCTCCAAATACTAGATGCCACTTGTGAGGGTAGTTATGTTCTGGGAAAGCGTTAGTTTCTTAGCAAATATATGAGCTGGAATAGCATCTGCTCAAGTATAGCGAGCATGATCACCCCTATTTCAGCTGGCCACTTAGGCAAGAGGAGACTGAGGAGCTGAACGAACATAAATAGTTCCCTTCCAGAGGCCACTAGTTTCAGGTGGATGATGTCACCACCGAAAGCGGACGCCCGACTGAGGTCTGCGCTAGTCTATCTCAGGTCTAGCGCGGACTATGAGCTTTCCTATTGCGGTATGTAAGCCTCGCCGCTTTATCTGGTAGCTGGCAGAGAAGGTAGGAATCTTATATTGAGTATGTATGTACTTAGCTTCAGTCTTTCCATTCAATTCAATCAGCTTCAATTCCCTGGAAAAGTGTAAACGGCCATCCTATATTCCCTCCGACCTTTCTCGTTGCATAGCTGCAAGGAATGGATGACATGTCCTCCGACTGCGTTGCATGTGGCCTTCCGCACCATTGCAATCTTTCATGGCAACTGTAAAGCGAACCCCATTTGGCACCCTGTAGTACTACGCCCCGGTTGCAATTCAATCCTCTAGTCAGGAAGTACAAAAGTGAAAGTTTTCAAGACGAGGTGAGAGAAAGAGCAGCATTATGTAAGAGCGTAGGGTTACGCCGGTAAAGCGGCCAGCGCCCCCTCAGGAACCGTCAATGCTCCGAGTAGGGCTCTCCCGAAAAGTGGTCCTCAAGGCAGCTACCGCTTTGTTCATCTTCGCGTTTTTCTCTTTGTTCTTCCCTCTCGCTTTTTTTTTTTTTTCTTCTTCTCTCCTATCCGCATTCCTCTTCAACAGTCCTGGCCCCCTTACCCGATCCCTTCCTTCTGCGGCTGGCCGCCTCTACCTGCTGACTCTACTCCGTTGGTCTCGTGAGGCTTTTTCGGCCCCGATTACTCCGTACTGTGCCCCGCATCCTGAAGCCATAAGACTTCAATTATTACTTTATCTTCGAGCACCCAAATCGGCCTGCATCTGAAGCCACTCCCGTCTCTGTACGCCTTGTTGAGAGTATTTTTATTTCACTTGCGATCAAGCGAAATTTCGCCGCTCATTCATCATGTTCGGGATCATTGCGGACCTCTTCTCGTAAGTGCGCTTTGCTACTCCGAGCTGGTTGCCGGTCCTCCCGGGAACCTACTGAATCTGCCTTCTAAATCGGCATGTGGGATAGTTCAATTGTCACGATCCTCTTTCCTATCTTCGCCTCTTTTAAAGCTCTGCGCTCGTCCGACCCCAACCAGCTAGCACCATGGTTGATGTACTGGGTGGTGCTCTCCGCCATCCTCATGGCAGAGTCCTGGACAGTGTTCATTCTGGGATGGTAGGTCCATACAGTTCCCTCGATCCATTTGATACCAAGGAATCTGGTCCCTAATGGCATCTACGTTCTAGGCTTCCCTTCTATAGCTGGTTCCGTCTGTTTTTCCTGACCTACCTCGTCCTCCCGCAGACACAAGGAGCCCGTCTGCTCTACCAGGACTACGTGGACCCTTTCCTATACCACCATGAACGGGAAATCGAAGATTTCATCGGCCGTACCCACGAGCAAGCCAAGGCCATGGGTCTCCAGTACTTTTACCAGGCCGTGGATCTTATCCGGGAGAAGGTCCTGGGCCTACCTCCTCAGCGGCCCGCGACCCCTCCCCCGCAGTCGGGCCCTTCATCTGTCGCTCAATCGCTTCTGTCCCGGTTCAACCTTCCCTCTGCCGGCGGAGTGACCGGGGCCCCTCCCGCAGCCCCCAACAACGACTGGTTTTCGGCCATCAGCTCCGCGGTGGGCTCGTTGACGTCCACGAGCCAAAGCCCCGAAAAGCGAGGCGAGGAGCTCTCCGCCAGCGGCTCCCTCTTGCCCCGCGAACTGTCCTCCATGTCCCGTGGCGAGAAGGCCAAGTTCCTCTCCAACCAGCGAGATATGCTGGATGTTTTGCGCAATGCCCTGGCCAAGGAGGAACAGAACTTGGGCCCTGAGGACGACGGTCTCGCGTACGGTTCCTCCTTGAAGAAGAACCGCAGCGACAACTCCTTCGACCACATCGAGCACGATGACATCCGCGACCGCTCTCCCGCACAGCCCGGGCGGACTCCCAGCGGCAATTGGTCGTCGGGTTGGTTCGGACAGGGAGAGCAGGGCGGTTCGTCCGGTGTGGACTTCGCGGCCAGAGCCGTTGACGAAATCGCGCGCTCCCGCGGCTCTCATAACTAGAACTAGTTCCAACTCTAAAATGTTTTTTCGTTTCGAATGTCAGCAATATGCGGGGTTTTCTCTCGTTCCACGTGCGCTAGTAGGATAATCGGCATGATTAGACTGGCTTGAATGTACTTTCTCTCGATGTCAATAGACGAGTGCCGCCGTCCAATGTACAAAACTTTTGTCCCTGCGCAGGGCTAGGCTTCCATCATCAGTCATCGCAGGAACTCCAGTCATACTCCGTAGAGTCATCGCCCGTAAGGCCCCAATCCAGGGCATGTGATTAATCCGTTCACCGAGATGCTGACAGATTTAAAAATAGACGCGATCTGGCATGAGACTAAGGGCTTAAACCTATCCGGTGTAATGCATCAACAATTCACGAGTCGGTGTGGTTGTACGACCACCAGCACTTGATAACGGCCAGGCTGTTACTGCAGATCCAACGTTTGAATACCTAACTTAATCAATAAATCATGGTGCCTTTAGTGAGCCCTAATTCAGGTGTGGGCCGTTCGCCGTTGATGCTCCGTAGCCGTAGACGCTATACCAGTATATACCTAGCCATAGCCATACCTACTCCGTCAACCTACCATAAGTCCCCTCGTTCTCCGATCGTTAGGTAGTTAATTAGCAGAAGAGGCACCGAAGCGAAATCATGCAGGAAGAAAAATGTCGGTTCCCGATCGACGATTTGAGTTCTGCACTCGCCATGTTTTCCGTGTCGGAAATCGACTAGACGCGAACAAATCAATATCCTGGTCGGTCTGCATTTGGCTCTTTCGGGCCACCTCACCCCATTTGACTAGTCGGATTGGGCAGGGGATTTGTTCCGTGGGTGGTGGACTTGGTGGGAGGTAGGGCAGGATGATCAGAGGAATGCCCAGCGTAGGGACTAGCAGTTAGTACCTAGCGGAGTATGTACCAGGTAGAGGATCAATTGGAAACGTGAACCGGGTGCTGGTTGTACTGTAGTTGATTGGGAGGGGCTTATTATGGCTGGATATTATCGTCTCCCGTCGCCTATGTTCTGTACTTGCTGCATGCACCATCCATTAGATCTGAACCTTCCGTTGGGTTGACTTGGGTTGGCTTGGGTTGGACCGCGGTAAGGATATATCCGTGCGCCTGGTAGTGGATGTGCATGCTGGAGTATATATCACCGATATTGCAATCCCGACCATATTTTACAGTGTACCTCTTTGTTTTTGTTTTGGTTGTTCTTTATTCCATTTAGGTTTTCGTCAATACTGTAATCCATCCTCCCAGACAGTCTTACTCCCACTTCGTAATGAAAGAGCGACGGAAAGTTGGTTGCATTTGAAGGAGTCGGGGGTGTGTGGCCTGGACCTTCCGTCATGAGATCATGGCGACACCTGAGGCATCTTTGCCACCGCAGACCGGGGGAAATGACGAGGCTTGTTGACGGGACTCTGTGAGTCAGCGCCTGAATGACTGTCGTTCAGCAACATCCGACTTTACACTTTCCAGCAGGCAGTCACTCGTCAAGAAGGCGAACAATCCGAGGGAGTTGGTCGCCGTGGTAGGTCCGCCTCCTCCCGAGCCTGTTCCCGATCGGGCAACCAGCCTGTTTTGGTTGTTTGCTTGGTGTATTTGGGTGTATGGTATTGTCACCGGTCGCCCGTCTGCCTGCGAAGATTCTGCAGTCTTGGGTCTGGTCGGGAAAGGGCCGGGGGTGATTCCGCCGCGACTGAGGAGATCTTGAGAGAGAAAGACATATGAGCGATATTTAAGAAGATTCTAAATGACAAAAGAACATTATCGAATAATATTTCTCTGTTGCACCTTTGGTTGAGACTACTGGTGGTGGCCTTCATAGTTACTTATCCTCCGTACCGGTCAGGTATCACCATACCTCCGCCACACAGCTTCTCGTTAAGAGCGTAACTCCGAAAAAAACACCACACCCGAACGAGGAACCAAAAAGGATTAAGGAAAAAATAAAATCGGGAAAACCAAAAATTGACGGTCGTTTTTTTTTTTCGTCCCCTCTTTTTTTTTTTTTTTTACCCTTTTCCCTTCCTCTCCTCTCCTTTTCCTTCTCTTACCCCAGACCCATCGTCGTTGACCACGACGTGAATCTTTTTTTTGTCTGAGATCAAGTCCCCCCTTGTTGGCGGTCTTTTTCTTTGCCCTTTTAGTCAGGTTTCTCTGATTATCCTGTGGGATCAGTCGAATCCTTTGGATGTGGGATCTAGAGCGTGTTCGTTTATTGTAACACGCCTTTGACATCACACTTTCCTATCCGTCGTCAACTTTTTTGTTTGACTTCGTTCTTTCTCACCCTCTTACCTTCCTCTTTCATCCGATTTTCCATCCTCATTCGACTAGCGACTCTATTTATTTCCCTCTTGTGATATAAACCGACCTGTCTAATGAGCTCGATCCCTCCCAAGTCAGGCCTTCAACCTCAAGGACAGAGCACCTCGAACCAGGCCGCTTCGCACGCTTCCTCCCCATCGCTCAGTGGGAAATCCTCCCCCCTGCCTGCCTCGACCAGGTCCTACGCAAACGCGACCAAAAAGTCCGCGACGGACTCGACCGCCGCTCCCGTCACCGTGGGCGGTTCACCACACCATGGGAAGTCGACCTCAGAATCTCCTGTGAGCGGCAAACCCATGCAGCAATCTCAGTCCCCCGGCGTCACTATTGTCAATGGCGCCCCGGCTCCGGCTCCCTCGCAAGGCGACCACTCTCGCAAGCCCTCCGTGACCATCACCTCCGCTGGAACCTCCGGTTATATTCCC